AACTTAAGTGACAGACTTGGTTTTCCTCAAACCACTGCTTCAGGTGTAATGTAAATGTAGATACATACATATCTACTCGGCACGGTGGCTGAGTGGATAGCACTCTCGCCTCTCAGCAAGAAGGTCCTGGGTTCGAATCCCGGTTGGACCAGGGCCTTTCTGAGTGGAGTTTGCATGTTCTCCCCGTGTCTGCGTAGGTTTCCTCCGGGTGCTCCGGTTTCCCCTACCACTAAAAATATGTACAATAGGTCTGGCATGTGCCTCCTGTACTGGCACCCCCACTCCCAAAAATAACAATTGTAAACCAATGTGCAGTGAAAAGGCGGTATATAAATAAAGATTACTTAAAGATTACTTAATTACTACTACTCTTGTTGTTAAAGGGATGGGGAGAAGCAGGTTGTGCAGCTTCATAACCATCACCAGTAAGATGTGCTGGAGGAGAATAGACAAACCAATGGAGAAAGAGCTTGTCTGTTAATCTCCAGAGTTTGAAAAGTTAGACATTGATTTATATTTTAAAAAACTAACCTTTTTAGTCTTCTACAAACATGTTTTATAGGTTTATATTTCCACAGTATAAAATCCATCAACGATTATTTGTAAAGCACTTTTTTTTTTTATTTTTTTTTTTAAATTGCCTTGGTAAACAAGACAAGGCCACTAGTTCTAATTCGACTTGACAGTTCTAATGTGCAAAGGTAAAGGGTTCCACAGCTGTGGTTCTTTAAAAGTTAAATATGATCATGAAATATATTTAAATATATTTATTAAGTAAGTAATATTATTTTAAGCAGACTCGTGTTTGTGCCGCTCACACTCAGACGGGTCCATCTGAAGGCTGCAGCGGTCTGGACTCTATCGTCTTATTGTTTGTGTGCGGCTGCGTCCCTCCACAGTGATGTCACACACATTCCAGGCACCAGATAAATGAGTTTAGTGTTCGGCAGATGAGCAGCTCCGCGCGGGATGGTGGAACTGGAGCGAAGGCCACGACTGAAGCCTCACAACAGCTCAAAGTGTGTAGAGACCTGCACATCCCAATAAGAGAGTGAGCAGAACCAGAGAATACAAAAATGTAAAAAAGCACATTTCGAGCTGCCATCAGTGAGATGAAGAGCCACGTCTCTTTCCTGCGGACCAATAAATACATTTTTTTACATGTTCCGGTCCACAACAGCCACATCAAACCTGGTTGCAGCCAATATCACTTCCACCACCTGGACTATAGAATATTGAATTGTTCATGAACAGTTCATTCATGTGCAAAATGGGTGTCATGAAAAAAACATGCAGGATAAAAGAAAATATATTACACAATTTATTTCTGGTTCGTTGGGTGTTTTTGTGTGTTTTATATGATTGGTACTATGGCTATTATCATATTATTAAACAAAATGTATTAAATGTATTATTAAATCTAACTTACTATAACAACCCAAACTGCAGTAGTAAAAGTAATAATTTAAACCTATTTGCAAAATCTCAAGCTTAAACGGCCCTACGATTTTTTGGTTGGTCTTAATTTCTCATAGATTGGACAAAAAATAAGACTATTAAAATCCAAATTGAAAGGCTGATACCATTTGAGTGCAGTCTCATTACACACACGCATGTTCCGGACACATACAAACTATTATCTTTCCACGGATCTGACTTGTCTCAATTAGCACTGTTTTTCCTCAGTCTCTTTGATTTTTCAGAACTGCTTGTCAGTTGTTTAAGCTCAAGAGGAACAGAAAGTGTACTAAAGGGCAACAGCCTGGGTTTGAGTTTGAAACTGAACAAAACCATTAGACTCGTTGTGACAAGGCATTTCTGTCAGAGCATGTTAATCAGAGTCAGCAGAGGTCTGTTCACGTGTTGGGCAAACGAATGATGACCAATACTTCTGTTATTTTTTATGATGACTTCTTTAGTCATAGTTGGCTGTACAGTTCTCTCAGTAGTCAGGACTCCTCTAGCAATTATTGTTGACATGATTTGTGTATAGTCTAGTAAACAATGTCCACTCTGTCCAATACTATAAAACAGCACAACGTTTTTGATCAGTTGTTTCCTCCAAATAATCTAGTTTGACACATTTACAAGAAGGAATATTTAAATGTTGATAAAATAATTAAATTACTTTTGTCCTTTTGGCTATTGTCCACATTCATAATCTCTTGTCGCACAACTATCTTGGGCCGTTTCCATGGGCCCGACTCTACTCGACTCGACTCTCACCGGTTTGCGGACGTTTCCACCGGCTCGCTTTAGCCGTGACCCGTTACTTTTTTGGTAAATGCTTTAGACCTGGCTCTAGTCGGGCCGAGCAGATACTGTAACCCCAGCAACGTCGACGAACGCTGGTGTGTCCCACTCAGCAAAAAGCAGACGCCTTTTCTCTGGCATCTCTAACATTTATAATAAATACATAAATATAACATTCATAATGAAGATGCTTTCAAATAATTTAGCAAGCTGTAAACCATTTATGTTTTAACTCCACACGGCTCCTCCCCTGCCAAACTTCTCTCTGCTCTCTCCTCCGCAAACCACCACAATGAGGAAAAGGGAATATTCACTCAATCTATTTTGAATGTTACACAATATTAATATAGGCTAAGCACGCGTAACATCTGTAGCCTGTGTAATTACAATAGACTGTAAATATTAAAGTAATTACGCACCTGCTTAGAACAGTAGCGGCGCCAGGTTTTCAATTATGGGTAGGCCTGCAGATTAGTAGGTATAGGCCAAATTCGCTCGCAAACTACAAGGGGTAGTTGGAATTTAGGTTTCAAACAATATGGTTAAAACGCACGCACTCAAGCACACACACACACACACATACACACATACAAACAAACACACAGGCCCTCATTTAGGAAACTTGCGTAGAAAAAGGTGTACATTTTGGGTGTATATTCTATTTACACAAGATCCAACGTGGGATTTATGAACGTGTGAGATCCGCCCAGATCTGAGCGTACGCAGCTGCGGGTCTTGATAAATGCCGCGGCTGAATACGAACGTATTTATGAAAGTCACGCCTAGAATTATGCAGCAATCGCCTGTTTCACGCCCCGTCTTTGCAACAGGTCAGCAGGAAAATATTTTGATACATTATAAAAATCTCTTGAATTGTAGAAGTGAATAAATATAGAATGAATGAATTCATATATATTATGCAGCGGTGACTCATCAATGAAGTGTCTGCAGCGTCTTGGACGCAGCCTGGCTCGGGGTAGAAGTACGCATTGAAGCGCTGTACACTTGAGAGAGAAACTTCTGAATGACAGCACATTTGAGGAGTTATGTGGCCGACCTCTCACGGCACTCGCTGCGCACTCTGGACAGGGCAGTGAGACATTTGGAGTGAGCAATAGTCCATCGGTGCTGGGGTGTGTGTCTGTGTGAGGCAAATCTAATGAAAAAACACATTGCTTTAGATGTGAAATGAGGAAACACAGACAGCCGTGTGTAATTCCACAGCGCAGAGCCTGCCACAGCAATAGCTGGGTCGCACATGCCTGTCGCGTAAAGTGTATTTGTATAGAGCCTTTCACAGTCCAGGATCACAAAGCACTTCACATTTAAAAAACATGCAGATCAAAATACTACACACACAAGTCAGATTTAATAAAGGGTCCTCATCATGAGCTGTGATTTATTCAAAGTTTGCGTGTTTCCATTAGACTTTTTCTGATGCGCAAATTCAAATTTTGAAACATGATGCTCAATGAAAACACAGCTTATTATTTTGCCAGAGGGAATATGTTTATTATTGTCCATATCTTAAATTCCATGCGTGTTTTGGCGTGTTGTGCCGAAGGTTGAGATCAGCGTATAGATTTACTCCACCTCCAGACCTGGCGTATATTTTTTGCGTATTGTACGCTCACGTCCAGATTGTTAAATGCGTACGCCTCATTTACCCTGATTTGGCCGTACGCAGTTTCATACATGAGGCCCTGTGTCTCACACAGGCCTGGAGTTTACCTCATCAGTGCGAGGCGAGCCTGGCCTGACCGCGCTCTCCTCCTCTGGAACCTACGGGCCCGGGCCTCTGGCTCCTCTACCTCACCAAGTTCACGCTGAACTTTCTTAAAACTAAAATTAAAAAGGCTACTCCGTTGTGAATGTCAATCTTTAAGAGGAGGAATAGCTGGTTGTTCTCGGGGAACGAGCTTCGCGCATGGGTTTCGGGATGTTTGATATGATCATGCAGCTTATTGGACAAAATTGTTCAGCCAATAAACAGAACTATATTTGAAGCAACGAACCTGATGACGCTCAGGCGGTTACAATTTCTAAAAACATTAGAACGCAACATTTTAGCAATAATGTGTGTATAGAAATAACAATATTTAAATTATGTCTTTTAATAAAAAAGGCAAATGACTTGAGAGGCGAGGAACAAATTTGAGTAGGCCAAGATAAAAACTGGTAAAAACTACCCAGGCCTATACCTGGCGCCGCGGCCGGCTTAGAAGGCCTGGGATGCCCACAGCGTCATCAGTCTACGCGCCTCTGTGAGGATCACACGTCTCTCTTCGGGCTGGAGCTATGGCTGGAGCATTTTGAGGGTTTTAAAGCAGGAGTCAGGAAGGTGGCAATCTTACGGGTGTTTGTGATTTTTTTGGTTTAACAGCCTCCCTGTTAAACTTAATTATATACATAATTATATATAGGGATCAGGAGCTTTATGACCCGACCCACCCGCACCCGACATGACTCATATTTTTGAGGCATCCAACCCGCCCGAAACTGCGGGTTGGATGCGGCTTTCGGGCCGACCCGCGCATCACTACCCCTTAGGTAACTCGTTGCCATAGATACACAGGGCCGATGGAAACGCTCTCAAGTCGAGTCGAGTCGTGCCGAGTCGAGTTGAGGCGAGTAGAGTCGGGCCCGTGGAAACAGCCCTTTAGTGGTTTAATCTAATAACCCGACGTTTGTGTCACCAGATATCCACCATGCTGCAGTGAGTGATGCTCCGCGCCCTGGTCTTCATGATGGCATTGTTGGGGGCACAGGGGTGCGGTCCCACGGGGAGCTGTCCCACGCTCCCCCCAAACTCATCCTCGTCCAGAGACTACTGTTACTCCGCTCGCATCCGCAGCACAGTGCTCCAGGGGCTGCCCTTCGGAGGAGTACCCACCGTCCTCGCACTGGACTTCATGTTCTTTCTGGTACGTCGAACTATTCAAATATATTTCACGGTTTTAGCATAGACTGTATATATTAATGGACAGAGTCACGCCTATCTCCGCCGTTCATAGGAGTTGTTCCATGAAAAGTGCTTTCATGGAACAATCCAAGATGGCCGCGAGTGGTCCCGCCCACAAGAAAATTGTGAAAAAACGCATCTGTGCATGCGTCAGCCGGCGCAGCTCCATTCATTTGAACGAGAGACTTCAAAAATTCCCCGCGAGTAAACTAGAGTGGACCAAAAAAAAATCACCCCCCTCAGCATTGACACACATGTGGAACGGAGCTTTGGGCCAAGAGCCAACTTTTGGTCCATCCTGTAAAGACGTTTTTGAGAGGTCTGCTAACGCTATATGTTAGCATTGGCTAATTCTTCTTCTGGGTCCACCCCCAACGGCCCGGGGTGGTATTGCAAGCATGTCAGCGCACGTCATTTTGGCCACTTTTGAGCTGGGACCCTCCCCCACTGGGTTTTAGTAAGTAAGTAAGTAAGTAAGCTTTCTTTATATACCGCCTTTCACAGACCAGAGTCACAAAGCGGTTTACAATTGTTATTTTTTGGGCACTTGTCCTCTCACTCCACACAGAGATGGGAGCGGGGTCGCCGAACAGGAGGCGCATGCCAGACCTATTGTACATATTTTTTGTGGTAGGGGAAACCGGAGTACCCGGAGGAAACCTACGCAGACACGGGGAGAACATGCAAACTCCACTCAGAAAGGCCCTGGTCCAGCCGGGATTCGAACCCAGGACCTTCTTGCTGAGAGGCGAGAGTGCTATCCACTCAGCCACCGTGCCGCCCACGGCATTGGTGGCATTTTTAGTCACTTTAGCACATTACAAGCAAGGTGCAGATCATTGATGGAATATGTTAACACACTAGCTCAATTAAGCCCAATGGAAGTGCTAAAAAAAAAACAGAAAAGCTCATTAACAGTTTGTGTGACACTCACCATTTCAACCAAATCTGGTTAGGGTTAGGGTTAGTGTTAGTGTTAGGGTTAGTGGGCTGTGATCCTGATGTTTACATTTTGATATTGTCTTTGGTCAAACTTTAGGGCTGGATTTACAATCAGAGGGCTTCATTCAGGAAACTTCAGCTTCCCTTAGCAACCATGTTAGCAACACGTTAATTTGAACTGAAAACAAACTTTAGTTTGACCAAAGTGATCTGGTTTGCACTTTGGTCGTCTTGAGTGTTGTAAAGGGCTCTATGAATTAAATTTGAAACTGCATTGGGTGGAGGGGGTACAGACTCCAAATATCTAGATCCACAACAGAAGTCCAAATAGAATATATTGTTCTTTTCAATGATTCATGCCATATTTAGAATCATTTTGCCGATGATATAACTTTTGTTATGTGGACAGTGTTGTGTAAATGTGTTCCCTTAATGTGTTTTCCTAGGGGCTGCTGGTCGTGTTTTCGTTCTTGAGAAAAGTTGCGTGGGATTATGGACGACTTGCTCTGGTCACCGACGCTGACAGGTAGAAATAAAATGAAGTCAATTCTCTCCTTTGTTATGTTAATAATACTTGGGGCATTAGTGTGTACGCAAATATTATTATTCACTGTTTCTTTACATTGGGTAAATAGAAAACGTATGTTAAAAAGATTTTTTGGGATTTGGCATTGAAATACATCGAAAGAAAGATGCATTTTGATATTCATCTTCTACGTTAATGTTTTGCATTCATTTTGAACACTAACTTGTAATTTATGTTTGAGACCTGGGCTTGCCGTTCAGTCCTTGTGAGTTTTTCTTTGTCCTTGTCTAAACAAAATGTATACATTTATAGAAACTCTGACATCTTTGCTTCTCTTGCCCATGACAATGTTATGTGTACAGTATGTATGTACTGTCTAGCAGATGGGAACTAATACAATTGACTGAATGTAACTAATTATTTCAGTAATTTTACAGTAATTCTTTGTGATGTCTCAACTGGTGACCATAAGATTAGAATAAAATAAACATCTATTCATCTCCCAGTGGGGAAATGTAAATGTATTCTAAACAACCATGTATCCTAAATGGATTTTCCTAAACTAAAAAAAAATTACAGCATATTTTTCTCCCACTTTGGATAAACAAAGTGTCAATTAAAGTATCTGGACTTTAAGAAGTTATAACTCAAAAACTGTGGACATCTGAAAGTATTTAATAAACCTCCGCTGCTCATTTTGTCAAAGGCACATTCATGTGTGTATATATGTATATATATAATATAAATAATGTATATAGAATGAGAAATTGCTGTTAGTAAAGTGAAACAAGATACCATGCTTGTTCCTTGCTTGCTGCTTGTACAGTCGGCAGCCCATGGCATGGTTTGAAAACTGAAGCCTGAAAGGACCTCAGTGACCTCTGTCTCCTGCTGCTCTGGTGCAATGGTCCAAAAGCCACTATTTTTGCAGCTGTACAGGAGCAGCATGGAGGAGAGGGGACAGCATGGTGTAGTTATGTAACTCATTAGAAATTCTGGTCTTAGGACTCTTTTTACTCTAGTGTGTCTTTAAACTTCTACCATCCAAGTATTAGTCAGGTGAGCAATAACTTGGGAATAGTGTCAATGATAGCGTTTCTTTTGAGGCATATGATGTGCTTGGATTATGTGTTCTGTGAGTCTTCAATGGTATGTCTGTTATAATACACAAGGTTCATCTCACGGTCACAAAAACTCAACAGGTGGCTTTATTTGAATGAATTTCCCTAGACTGAAAGATTTTAAGCAGTTCATGTATAATTCATATTTATACAAATCTACACGTTTTAATATTTAATATCAATATCTAGGTATTCAAATGCACAGGTTCATTTTTTTTTTCTTTTTTTATATATATATATAATTTGCACTGTAAAGTCTTTATACAGTTTTTGTTAACTATTGTACCCCAGTAGTCTCACCTATTGATTAGAAACTACAGATAGAAAACAGTCCAATTTTAGAACAAATCAGACCACAACATGCTGTCTTAAAATGTGTTCTAATAAGATATATTTTGCATAGCTGTAAGAAAGGAAATTCTAAAGGCATGTTTAAGAAAGCTGGTGGAAAATTGTACGAGAATTCTGATATAATGATAAATTGCTGAATATGCTGCCACACTCAAACGGAATAGCCTGTGGCGTTAATTTCCTCTCGTTAAGCTGAGTGGCTTTGTTTGCTTTCTATTTCTCCTTCAGACGAATGGACCAACAACAGAGATACAGTCGCCTGGATGATCGGGAATAGTATGTTTTGTTTTTGTCAATGACAAGTCGACGCCTTTTCTTCTCCTTTTACTGTATACAAAGTCCATTCTCTTCAGGACTCTGGGGCTCAACATGTTTTCTATTTTCCTCATTAAGAAATGTCTGTACTTTGTCTGTCACATTTACGCTGTCCTGTGAACAAGTATTTGCATCTCTACATTTTTGGATATTGATAATCTGTAAACTTTCTCCACATACTCACGACCTCATAACATTGATATCAAGAAAATTTACTGTAAATGTCACAGGGTTCGAGAAAATAAGTTGTTACAAGATGTGAATTTAGATATTGTTTGAAAAAATAGTTGCTTTCAAATTCCGTAGAATTAGATTATAGAGTCGTGTCTGTATCAAAATGCACATTTTGTGTGATCCAGAAGTTGAAACACTGACAGGTGAAACGTAGAAAATTAATTCTGTAATTCAACTTAAAATGTGGTACCAATGTGTGAAGTGGACTCATCACTTTTAGGGTGACACATGCCAAGCCTTTGTTATAATGCAATTATTATCCCTCACAGTCCCATGTTCACAATTTTATATTTTGATATCTTTTTTTTTTTTATACCAGCTGTGAGCTACTTATCAACATTATATCTCTCAATACTGTATCTGTCATATATTCGTTTCACTTTGTAAGTTGAATTACAGAAGTCTTTTGAACAATATTCTAATTGCTTGAGTCTCACCTGTAATGAACATCATGTGAGGACATTGATCCAAAACACTTACTGTGAACACTTCTTATGGATAAGAAATATAATTTTTTATCCATATCATTGTTGTCTTGTGTCATGCAACAATAACTTGGAAGTGATCAAGATGCAATGATTAAAGCAGCGGTGTCCAAACCGGTCCAGAAAGGGCTTCGATGCCGAGTCTGATATAAAATTTGCAGCCACAGCAGCCCTTTCTGGACCGGTTTGGACACCCCTGGATTAGCTATCACTTATGTCTATAAATATATATTGAAAACCATTCTAAAAGTAGTACTTGTAGTATTGGTATAAGTTTAGTTTATACATAGATAACATAAAACGTCAGTGGCTCAGTTGGGAGAACATTGGCTCATGAGCCTTGAGGTCGTGGGTTCGATCCCTCACAAGACCTACTCTAACTACTCCCACTGATGTCTGCTGTCATTGTGTCCTTGGGCAAGACACTCAAACCCACTCTGTCTGAAGCCCCCGCTGAAAGATAAAGGCTTATTTGGCTCATTCAACACAACCAAAAACAGACACAAATGCAAGACACAGCCCAAAACACTCTCTGACCACAAACTCTGATATTATGCTCATGGGTGGAAATTCAATTGAATAATTTATGCATGCAGAGCCACATTATACATTCAAACATGTAGAGGTGTTGTACATGTTCCCAGCACTGTTCCTCTGCCGGCAGCCTGTGTCTCCTTCACCTTCCTAATCAGCTGTCTGTGTGCTAATCTCTGTATTGACCTCTTTATGAAGCTGCTTTGGTGTGGGCGTGCGGCACGAGCCACGCAGGCAGGACGCTTACAGGGAGAGGTAACGGCTTTTGGGACCAGTGACGGTGCACATAGGCCTGTTATGTCACCCTGTACATGTGTTAGAGATAAGACTAGCCCTCCTGACTCCTGGGTAATGTAGGAATGTGGGGGTGGAGGTCAGCTGATGGATTATGGTCTCTGTGCTAGACCCTTTTTAGAAACGTCTTAAAGTAACTGTGGAGTCATCCTCTCTGTCTGAGTTCGACAGGGATCCCAGCAGAGCGTTTGCACTGAGCATCGCAAATCAGTTTAAGCTGTACTTGAATAAATGTTATATTGAGATTAATGATATGTCACTATAATTAGTATATTTACTGAAATTATCGTTCATTAACTGGTGAGGGACAAATATACGATTTGGGGTTCTATATATATATATTTTCTAGATGTTTATTCTTTGTAGTTTTCGCTGTAGAGAGATGAGAAGACATCTTTTTAGCCTGACCAGCCAGACCCAAACGATTTTAATAATACTCTTCTGACAAGCCAAAAAATCTTAATTCATCTCTATTTTCTCTGTGCAGTCTTATTAATAAAATAGAGAAATTGGGTAATAACTTTGCTGGAATAATGCTGTCATATTTCAATTGGTTGAGCAGCATACAAGTAGTTTTATTTATTATATTGCTTTGTAAATAAATGATATCGGCCATCCAACTGTTATGGTGACAGGCCTAGCTGTAACGTCCTTTAAAAGTGACAGTCATTCTCAATATTTATTTCTACCCTATTGCAGCACAAATCAAATGGTGTCTTATCTTGTCCACATATTGAGCAACAAAATGTACTAGTTTAAACAGATGCTTGTTTTCGACAGCAAACAAATTGGAAAATTAGTGTAATGCTGAGATTAAACCTGCACATTATGTATTCTGGATCCAAAGTGTTCACATGCTCTGCTGGGTATCATGTTGTACAATCCTGATCTAACTTTTCCTTTTCTTTCCTGACGCAGTTCTAACCCTGTAGACCTTTTTCTGGTGGTGCAGTAGTTTCGATGACTGCTCCTTTCAATGTGTGAAATCTGACTGCCGAGATCCCAAAGCCACTTCTGAGAAATAAGAGTAATGAGAACATAAATTTAATGCAATTTACCTTTATTCATTTAATTGATAGTTTCTTGTCCAATAATATCGGCTAAAAAATTGGCAGCAGATTTTTTTGTGCCCAAGCCCTATAGAGATTATATACTTGTAAATAATTGTAAATATACAATTTATTGCTCAAGAATGACTTGGAAAAAGCAGGCATGCCACAGATCTGGCTTTTAACTCATTGACTGCCAACCATTTTTGATGAGTTCACTGATTCTCAAGACCCATCCATCCATCCATCCATTTTCTACCCTTTAATCCATTTCTGGGTCAGGGGGGTGGCAGTCAGAGATGCCACCCAAGTCTCATAGCACCAGCCCCTCACTGACCCTCTGCAGGTGGTGAGTCCGCAGGAGGACGGCTGCTCTCTGAGTGTGAGCATAGCCTTGATCTTTCAGTGGGGGCTTTGGGCAAAGTGGGGTTAAGTGTCTTGCCCAAGGACACAACGACAGCAGTCATCAGTGGGAGTCGGTGGAGAAGGTGCAGAGGTGGGAATTGAACCCACCTTCTGGGCTTAAGGCCAATGCTCTACCAACTGAGCTACTGTCGCCCTTCTCAAGACCCATAGAATATTATTTCCTAAGACTATGTAAAATCTGAAACCAGATTCTGAAAGACTGGGTTGTCCACTTTGATCAGCAACAATACGTTTGTTTTTAGCTATTTTTATTGTCCTGTAATCCCCAGTCGAATAGAGGGTCTAAGACAAATATGTCAATGGCAGTCAATGAGTTAACTGTTTTATGATAAATGTGTAAGTTCAATGATATATTGTTGACTATTCAAGGCAAAGTAATAATCTTGAAATCATCAGGGAAGTAGATTCCACACAAGTTACATCATGCACTGAGCATTGTTATCTTGGATACAAAAACAAATCTTGAATAAAAATATGAAACAAATGGAAATCAAATAATTTTGAGTTACTGGTATATTGGCATAAAGTTGGCCAACCATTGCCATACAGATTTTTTTATTGCCTGATGAAAAGTCTTAAAAGCATCTGGCATGGGATCTCCTCAGTCACTTTCAGGGTGTGTTTGTGTGCGACTGCATTGTTGTCATCTTTTCCGTGCCGGTGGTGATTCGTGTGTGCTGGTTCCAGGTTGTGTAACGCGGTGGGCTTGTTGTGTTTTCAGTGTGGCCTCGACGGTGACACCTGAAGCCAACGAAAGATACGAACGCCTCACCTCCGTCTCAAGCTCTGTGGACATTGACCAGAGGGACACTGTGAGTGATGGAAAGGTTTTGGAAGTGTCAGTTTGAAAACATCCTTTAATTCATCCTTGTCAATTCTTTCAGGGTTTCTGCTCGTGGCTCACAGCTATTTTCCGCATTAAGTACGTACCATTTTCCATATTAAGGGAAGAATGATCGGTATACAAACATTATAGTAAATGTACTCTTATAATAAACGTATTCTTTCCATAATATTGTAGTTATTGCTACTGTTTCACACCATTATGTACAAACAACAGTGAGCAAAAATTAAGAACTAGATTAACAATAATGTGGAAAACACCTACTTTTTCAAATAATTTAAGACAAATGTTTAGCCCAATGCAGAGCCCGGGGCAAGTTTTCAGTCTCAGTAAAGCTTCAATGGCTGACTTGCAACAGCACATCCTGTTTTTTTGAGAACATAATGCTTTATATTGTGAGATGCAGACCGCAAACAGCAAACTCAATTCATAATTTGACCATATCCACACTGGAGAAAAACAAAATTGGCTCAGCGAGTGTTGTTTGGTGTTATGTGATATCTTATGTTTATACTGAATGCACACGTCTATATCGTTATTTTTATTCATGTATTTATATTACCTTGTTGCCAAGACAAATTGCTAGTTTGTGTTATAGAATATAAAGTGTGTTATTTGGCGCAGGGATGACGAGATCCGCGACAAGTGTGGCGAGGACGCTGTGCACTACTTGTCCTTCCAGCGTCACATCATCGGGCTGCTGGTTGTGGTCGGGGTGCTGTCCGTTGGCATCATTCTGCCCGTCAACTTCTCTGGAAATCTACTTGGTGAGTTCAGCGATCAAATCTACTACAAAGGAAAAGATTGTTATTTCATTTAGTGAGCAATCAGGGATCAAGCGTCGATTCTTGTACACCAGACACGTTCAAACTATGGCCCCTGGGAATATTGTGCCCTTTCATAATAGGCTAAAATCAGTCAATCAGTGTCGAAGCTATCGTCTTTTGATTCTAGCCCATAACACTCCAGATATTTTTGTATGATTCGTACCTTATCCTGGTTACATTAAGCTTTTATCTCTGCCTAAAGATTGTGTAACCTGTGCTAAATTCATCCATTTGAAATGATATACTTATTGATCGATTGTTTATGTTCCCAATTGGCTTTCCACGGGATCTGCGTTTTAGCATTTGATATATAAAGTTGCATAAAGTTGAGACGGTGCATATTGATGAACATGGAATATGGGGAGTTTTCTGATAATGATATCCAGGCAATATATTTTTTCAAATTTGATCAAGCGTGTGTTTTTTTTAATAAGTAAGTAAGTAAGTAAAGTTTATTTGTATAGCACATTTCACAGACCAGGGTCACAAAGCGCTTCACACATTAAAATACATAAAATACACATACTTTTTTTTCTTTGTTAATGGTATTGATTCTATGTTGTATCTGCCCACCTCTATTATGAATTGATTACAAAAAATACTTTCTTTTACAGAAAATAATGCCTACAGTTTTGGGCGAACCACTATTGCAAATTTGGATGCAGAGTAAGTATATATACATTTTGTTGATTTTTTTTTTTTATTGTATTCATGACATAAACAGAAGCACAGATTATATCATTTCTACAAAATAATATGATATTACATGAACAAAGTAACGGCCATTATTTTTCTTTCACGTTTTCATTCTGAAGAGGCAACTATTGATTAATGCACAACAATCTTTATTATTTTAAGAATGCTAAATGACGGATACGATTGAATGTGTATGCATTTGAAGGAGCTATGTAAGAAATAGAAGTACACACAAGCAAAATTCGGTTAAACCAACTTGAAGCTTTTGTCACTTACAAAGCAAACCATGGGGAAACTAACCATGGTTTATATACTTCAAGTATTGTTACACTGTTGTTCTGTTACACAAGTGGGAAAGATTAGATTAGAGAACGCTTATTCATCACACACTGGGCCGTCACCGAGGCAGTGTCGCAGGCCACATTACAAAACTGTAGGAATAAAAGAAACTCAAATCATCATAAATAGCATTTTTAGAGAAGAATTTAAATCCTATGAGTTTTTAGTCAATACGCCACTATACTGCCTGCCTCTGCGTATAGGGGACTTGACCCACTATTTACACCTTGTCTTCTTTGTAGTAACGCACTACTTTGGCTGCACACTATCTTTGCCTTCCTCTACCTGCTCTTGACAGTCTACAGCATGAGAAGGCACACCTCCAAGATGCACTACAAAGAGGACGACTTGGTAGATTTTTTTTTGTACCTTTTTTCATGATTTTTTTTTTTTTCGACATCTTGGAAATTATACTGTCTTTTTGTTGTTTGTATATAGGTGAAACGCACTTTATTTGTGAATGGAATCTCAAAATACGCAGAAGAATGGGACATAAAGCAGCACTTTGAGTAAGTTATATATGGAGCTTTTTGCCATGATAATATAGTTTCATAGTAGTTGTTCATTAAGTTGTATGAAATTTCTAGAATCCAGTGTGTTGTCGTTAACTAGACGGAAAGCATGAGTATAGTCTGACTTGAATCTTATATAAAAATGGCTGTAACTCCATTACCATGTATGAGAGCCATCCCTCTTCGTGTTAATGTGACGTCCTGGCCCATGTGGGGGCAGACAATGGTAGCCCTATATGCTTAATTATCCATAATGCAAGCCCTATGAGTGAGGTTGTGCAGATCATGTGTCCAGAGAGGAAGAGGCTGTGCTACTTCAACAAATGGTATTAACTAAAATCATATTTATTTTTGCTCAGTCAGTGATGTCAGAAGATTTGTTTTTTGACATTTGAAAATGAGGGCATTGAGTTGATTTCAACTCCATCCAACAGAGGCTGTCATTCTTGGTTTGGTACCAATGGTATTGTACAATATTACATAGGTCATGGTCAGAGCACAAGTATAGCCTCAGAGGTAAAGTCACCAAACAGAATTTCATCTTGTGGATTTAAAATTAGCAAGAATATTAACTTTTATTCATATTATTTTCTGTCAAATTGGCCTCTACCCCAAATCTTTTAAATCTTTGAGCCTTGGACAATCTATATAAATTTGTACATGACATATCTTCCATGCATATTGCTTATCAAGAATATTATTTTTGTTTTGTAGACAAGCGTATGAAAACTGTACTGTACTGGAAGCGCGCATTTGTTACAACGTGGCACGGCTCATGAATTTGAACACGGAAAGGTACGACCTACTCGGTGTCGTTTTATGTTTGGCCCAAAAGGCTGTCATCGTCTTGAGTTTTGATATAACTCTTGTTTTGTTCACAGAAAAAAAGCAGAGCGCAACAAGAAGTTCTTCATTGACCTGGAGAGTAAGGAGCACATCCCCACCATGATCAACCCCAAACCCTGTGGACACCTCTGCTGCTGCATCATCCAGGGCTGCGAGCAGGTCAGCTCAAGGTTCCAAAGCAAATATTAGATAGAAAAAGCAGACATTTTCGAGAACTTTAAGATTTTCAGACCAATTTGAGTTAACATCCAACATTGTAGGTCTGAAAATATTTTTATCATGCTACATTTATTTTTTGTGTGCATTTATTACCATTTTACAACATTGCTCCTTCATCAACAAAACAGACCTGCAGTTGTTTTTAGATCCAGGTTTATATCAGTAACTTCTTAATGGCCGAAAATAAAGCATAATATTGAGATCAATAAGAGAACCTTTATTTGTGGGGAAATTATTATTATTACAAAGTATACAATAGATGTAGCTGCAATGCATCAAGCTGCAAAAGCTTAATAAAAGCAGCAAGTAAATTATGAGTCTATTCATACTGCATCATTTATATTTTCTCACGTCTTACATTCTGTTATGAAGCGATTAAGATAAACTTCTCCACAAGTGAATTTTAACTTAAGATTTCTGCTATATCCTTTCACTGGTCCCTGCTTATAAATACTGCTTCTTAGCAAAACATGTTTTGGCTTAAAAACCTAAAATGATCCCACATATGTTACACTTTGTCTGTCCAATGCAAAGAGCCAACTGTGGTGTCAAATCGGGTCATTCTATTTTTGTCATCTTTATTTGACAAACTTAACTTGAATTATTCGGTTTGTGTAGATCAAACACAATTGATCGGTTTGTTTTCTATTTAAAAGAATAAAACATGGTCTTTTTGGTTTGGCAATTTCACAAAAAGAGTATTTTTGCTGTAAAAAGTGATAATTGTATCAAATGTAATACTTGCTGCTTGTGCCACCATGTGATGAACCATTATCTGCACATATTTACCAAACTTTGATTTTTATTAAATCCAGTGATGTGCAAATTGACTTCAATTAAATTGCTCAAATTTAATAGTGAAGATTATGTCAAAATGGGTCAGTGGTTGCTCAGAGTAGAATGACAGTCCCTTGTGATAAGAAAGTAATCTTTATTTATATAGTGCCTTTCACAGACCAAAGTCACAAAGAATGTTACAATTGTGGGCATTTGTCTCCCACTCCACACAGAGATGGGAGTGGGGTAATTATTGGTGAAAGCACTAAGTAGTTCCCATGGATTTTTGAGATTGTTTTGGAGTACATTTTGTTTTTCACCGAACTAATTCTAAATCAAAAATTGTAGGAAGAAGCGGTTGGCTACTACACAAAGTTGGAGGCGAACTTGAAAGAGGATTACAGAAAGGAGCGAGACAAAGTGAACAGTAAACCTCTGGGCATGGCTTTTGTCACCTTTCAAAATGAGTCCATAACTGCGCTGTAAGTGCTTCAAACCTCATTGTCAACAACTTACACATTCATAGATTCTGTATTATACACACTTCACCTTGCCTTTTTCTCTCTAGAATCTTGAAGGATTTCAACGCCTGCAAGTGCCACGGATGTTACTGTCGCCGGGAGCCAAAGAGTTCAAACTTCAGCACTAAACTTCACACACACAACTGGACCGTGTCTTATGCCCCACATCCACAAAATGTCTACTGGTGAGAAGAATACACATTCTTACTGAAAAGACACAGTCCACTATGCTTTACCTGCATAGTGATTATTTACAAATAGATACTTTGTAACCTTTGTTTCTACATATGGATTTCTGTGTCTCTATTACAACACTTTTCTCTCAGAATGTCCTTAGTGACTTAACTTCATTCATTCTCTTTCATCCCCTTTTATTAGTCCATTTCGGGGTCGAGGGGGAGGCGATCAGAGCTGCCACCCAATGCTCAATGTCCTTAGTAACTTAACTTGTTTGATATAAAAAATAAGAGTTTAGATGACTAGTCTAAGAGTTCATATGTATTTTTGTCCCTCTTTCATCAGTCACATCACAGTATTCCATTGTATTTTTTTAAACCTGGGGTGCCTTTGTCTGAAGCCCCTGCTGAATAACCAAGGCCCCTGTGGACTCACCACCTGCAGGAGGATTGTGAGGGGCTGGTGCTCTGTGGACTGGGTGCAGCTCTGACTGCCACCCCCCGGACCCTGAAATGGATTAAGGGGAAGAAAATGGATGGATGGATGGGTGCCTTTTTTATTTAATAATTTATACATTTTGATTCAATAGCTGTCTTTGTCTCATTATCTTTTGAATACTTGTAGGAAAGAACCCACGCTTTGGATTGAGAGCTGATTGGCCATTTTTTTCTCTTTTAACTGTTTTGCCTGAAAAAGCTGTCCTAAAGCTGTGATAGAGGCCAAAAACTATTCAGAAAACTAGTGATAAATTCAGACTGTTTTGAGGGTGAGGAACTATAGTTAGATGGATTTCATTAGTTACATTTTCTTATTGCTTTGACAGTTTGTAGCTCTCGTTCCTGCCCCTGAAGTCCAGCTAAGTCCAAACCAAGTGCTGGTATTTAATGCTGTTGTGGTTCCACAGGGAGCATCTGTCTGTTGGAGGCTTTTTGTGGTGGGGCCGCTGCTTCATCATCAACTGTGTGCTCTTTCTCCTCCTCTTCTTTCTCACCACTCCGGCCATCATCATCTCCACCATGGATAAATTCAACGTCACCAAACCAGTGGAGTACCTCAACGTAAGTCCTGCATCAGTATTATACGTTTTGGAAATTATTCATGTAATTATTCTCACTATTTATTCAGCCACATTTCTGGTGTTGCTTAGATTTTGCCCGGGAAGTTATTGTAAAATCGTATGTGTTCTGCCATTTCTAAATGGCCTTTTTAACAAAGAACCTCTGGAATTGTTGTATGGTTTAGATTTTTTTATGCTTAGGAAATTGTCATAGCGTTTTGAATTGATATGGTCTTAAAAAAAATGCTAATGCTAAAAAGCTAATAAACACTAGTTAAAATTACTACTACTACTACTTACCTGCACAATTGTCACAATATCCAGTTTAGATTTGTATTAACATTGCGATTTGCAATATGTTTTTAAAAAGAGTGTTATATTTGGAAACAATAAAAAATCATGTTTCTGAAATGTATGAACTTTGTATTTGCTTTTACAAATAATTTTACAGTAATTGTAACTGTTATGCACAATTTTTTCAATTTTTTTTAGAATAAGAATACAATTGCAAAGGAACTTAATAATTGCAGTATTTACCATTTCTGTTCTATTGCATTTAATCTTACAGCCTCTAAATATTTCACTGTAGATTTATACATTTCAGTCATTTGTTTGTTTACAATTGATCTTGTTTCACCTTCTCATAAAATATTCCCAAGAATATTGACTCAAATCTATTATGAAAATAAAATAATTCGTTTTTTGTATATCCAATGTATTTGTTACAAAATATTATTCATTTTACAGAAAGCTTGAACTTTAACTTTTATCTTGGTCTTGTCTTCAGAACCCAATCGTCACACAGTTCTTCCCCACCCTGCTGCTGTGGTCCTTCTCAGCTCTGCTTCCTACCATTGTTTACTACTCGGCATTCTTCGAGGCTCATTGGACACGGTATGACATCAGTGACAAATTTTCTCACTGTTATTTAAAATAAATAACAAATTGTGATGAGACGGTGAGACGGTGAAAAGACCAGCACTGGTTAGACCCGCCCATTCATACCCTTGCAACCTACTGATTGGGCAGAATTCAGAAATATGTCCATCCATCCATCCATCCATTTTCTTCCCTTTAATCCATTTCTGGGTCAGGGGGGTGGCAGTCAGAGATGCCACCCAAGTCTCATAGCACCAGCCCCTCACTGACCCTCTGCAGGTGGTGAGTCCACAGGAGGACTCAGAAATATGTATCCTTTGAAAAATACTTTCAAGAGAAGAGCAACTTTAAGGGCATTATATTTTTGAACCAGTTTTCATGTTTTCTTTGGTCTTAGATCTGGGGAGAACAGGACTACGATGCACAAGTGCTACACATTCCTAATCTTCATGGTGTTGTTGCTGCCATCTCTAGGACTCAGCAGGTATTACACTCACCAACAACATTTCCTCTACTTCAACTGCATGGTACAAATGTGAATGCAGAAAAATAGAAAAGTAGTCACATTGGTATTTATTAAATGCTTCTTAGCTGTTTCTTGATTTATTCAGTTAAGTCGCACTACACTTTCTTATTTTTGCTGCTTTTTGTATCGCCATTTTTCTGTTCTCATGGACCAGTTTCCCGAGATCAGTCAACATATTTTTCTAATTATATGAACAATTAGTCCTCAAACGTGAACTAATTGAAGTCTAATTTGTTCACTGTTGGAACACACAGTATAAAAAAGTAGGTATACCAGCTTTTAGTCAGCTTCAGTCTTTTGAGGTGACATGTTGTGCACTGTAGCATTTGCTTCTAAAGTGAACCGAGTCTGCTTAAGCAAGGGAGTGTGAACATAAGAAAATATCATTTACTTCTGTCAATTGTGTCCAGCTACTTCCATCGTTATCACAATCATATCTTTCATAAACGACTTGTTCCTGCACTTTTTGTAGCCTGGACGTTTTCTTCCGCTGGGTCTTTGATAAGCGTTTCCTAGCAGACGCCAAAGTCCGGTTTGAGTAAGTATTTGCACTTCTCTCATAAACATCGGATTATAATTGTGCTTTTTTCCTTAATACATGCTTCGTTTGTCTCAGGTGTGTGTTTCTTCCCGATAACGGAGCCTTCTTTGTGAACTACGTGATCGCGTCTGCGTTCATCGGAAACGCCATGGACCTGCTGAGAATCCCGGGTCTCTTGATGTACATGATCAGACTGTGTTTGGCTCGATCAGCAGCGGAGCGGAGGAATGTCAAGAGGGTCGGTGTAATCTGTATTTTTCAATATATTTTAGACAGAAACATTTTTGGGTTATTTGACACATGCCACACAGAGATGATGTTTTTACATGTTGTAGATCAGAGTTTCATTGACTGCTAACAGCGTTTCATAATTTTAGCAGCATTCAACGTTGGCTTTTGTATCAATGAATAATGTGTGAATGGTCATAAATGTCTGCAGAATAATTGATAAAAAAGATTGGACAAACATACAAGAATCAAAATTATAGTTTTGTTAAGATAATTGTGCATATAGAAATCTCTGCTCATATCAGGAGGGGCTGCTACAAATGGCGTAGAACTATTCACTTAGCCCATTAGGGACTAAAGCAGAATAATGTAATGCCTATCTTAAAAACCACAACACATCTATGTCATTAAGTCCTAACTAGATCCTGGCCTGGTTCTATCACATGCATCTATAGCTTTTTCAGACAGAAAAGTGAAATGGAGAGGACCACCCTCACTCAGTTCTCAGTCGAAACAGTCAGTATGTGAAAAAGATAAGGCGTTTTCTAATAACATGTAGATAGCATGTTGCGCCCTGATTAATTTTTCCACTAGATTTTTCTTTCTTAAGACTCTTTCAGTCGGGAAATCAAGGGAAAAAATGTTTGGTGCCCCAGCTTTTTAAGATAAAAACAACCATTATATCAAGAATCGATCAATGAGTGGTTTCACATCAATTGAGTTTCACAGTATCTTTACTCTTTATTAGGTTTGTGTAAGCCCTCAGTCGTACAGGGATTAGTCAAAGCAAAGGAAGGTTTCTCACCCATCATCTGTACTTCTTAGCAAGTTTTCCAGACGTTTCGTCCTCAAACCAGCGGACTTCTTCAGGGAATGAATTCTCAGACCGCGCGTTGGAGATTTATATTGTTTATGAGTTAGTATCAGGATTAGGGTGTGGCTAACCACACCCATAGGCTATAAATCTCCAACACCCGGTCTGAGAATTCATTCCCTGAAGAAGTCCGCTGGTTTGAAGACGAAACGTCGGGAAAACAAGTACAGATGATGGGTGAGAAACCTTCCTTTGCTTTTACTCTTTATTATTATTATTATTGAAACGTGTGAAAAATCAATGAATGCTTATATCAAAACCTGCACTACATTTTTATATATATATATATATATATATATATATATATATATATATATATATATATATATATATATATATATATATATATATATATATATATATATATATATATATATAACATGTAAAACAGAATAAACAGACACAGTTTTGAAAAGGGGTTGGATGAAGCAAACATGCACTGATTGTTGTCCCTGTCCCTGTTCAATAAAAAAAAATCTACTTTGTCTTTGACTTTCTAGCACCAAGCATATGAGTTCCAGTTCGGCGCGGCCTACGCTTGGATGATGGCCGTGTTTACCGTCGTCATGACTTACAGCATCACCTGCCCGATCATTGTGCCATTTGGTGAGTGCTGCCTCTGCTCTAAGTCTATTACTGGAGTACTGTTCCATATTAAGATGCGTTTATTAGATACATGCAAGTGGAGTGGGCTAAATGTGGGGTCTATTAGTTTATAGAGATGTTTATCAGAAGTCTAACATGATTATATTCACTGTCTGCGATTCAGGGCTCATGTACATGCTGCTAAAACACTTGGCGGACAGATACAATATGTACTACGCCTACCTGCCGTCAAAACTGGACAAGAAGATCCACTCCGGGGCCGTGAACCAGGTCGTGGCTGCTCCCATCCTCTGCCTCTTCTGGCTCCTTTTCTTCTCCACCGTGCGATCAGGTAAAGGTTGTCACCGTCTGCTGGTCATCTGTATGTTTGCAAAAGTTACAAAGGTTTGAGACTGTGTTGTAAAAACGCACTCTTAAAAAGTTAAAAGTTCTAAAGATGAAAAGAATTATGGAAGTAGGAGAGATGGAACATTGCAATATCACAGAAAGTTTTTTAAAGCTTTTTTTGAGAATGTGTATGTTTCTCCTGTAAATGAGCGTTTACCTTTTTAAAATTGGGTGACAAAGAATATTATGGTTAATTAGCTACAGTAGCATCGACTTTTGTAACTGATTCAACTGTAAATCTGTTCAACTTCCTGTGCTACAGGTTTTCCAGCAGCGACTTCTATGTTTACGTTTGTAGTTTTGATTATCACCATCATCATCTGCCTCTCACACGTTTGTTTTGGACACTTTAAATATCTCAGCGCTCACAACTACAAGGTGAGAACAACACAAACATTACATGTGTCCAGTTCAATTTGATACATATCTTATATCTTCATCTTTTTTCTGCAGGTCGACTCTCAGGAGGTTGACGGGCTGGAGAATGGCCGTGCAGTTGGCCATGCAGAAACAATCAAGTTAACAGTAAGTAGAAACCACAGATGTAGCATTTGTAATAGTTACTTGCCCATTTGGTTAAATTTGACTTCCCTACTTCTTTAGAGGGACAATATATTGTATTGCGATACATTTTCATATTGAACTCGCTACCGAATTATTTAACTTTTAACCAGGAGAATCTCAGAAACTGTTATATGTAAATATGCCGCATCCTTTTATAGTAGTGGTTCTTAACCTCTTGTACAGAGGGCCGGCAACGACTAAATACCACATCTACATTTGGTTGTCCAAGCAATTGCTTTTAAGTTTTCTTTTTTAATTACATTTTTGGACATTTACAGAAAACCATATCTTCACATTCAAATATTTTATTTCAAATACATTTGTAAAACTATTTTCCGTGGATGAATCAATGAACAGTAGGTACTGTCAGCACAACAGATTGTAGCCATGAGCAACTTTCCATAAGTTGTCCCTTCTGTATTTTGATGAAAAGTGCTTAGTAAAGAGTACAATAAAGAACATATGAGCCAAATTTTCTCATAGCAATAATCCTTGCCCACAGAGCTTTTACAGCTTGCTCTAATCTGCTGGTTTGGTAAATCCAAACACTGTGTCCTTTCACATCTTCCATTAAAACATACTTTGTCAAAGTAATTCAATTCTTGTGTACTGTTAAAGTAATTTTCACGATATCTTAGTAAATGTATCTGTACTTTTTCGTTGTGTAACATTTGTTCTCTTGTCCTCACAACAGCAGATGTACATCGCACAGGTGCTTCAGGATCCCAACGCCGAGGAGGGAGGTTCAGGGAGCGGCGACGACGGCCAGGGCTCTTCGCAGGACGAGGAACTGATCAACCCAAACGGCCTGAGCGAGGACTTCCAATCGGGAGAGGACAGTCTAATCGACAATGAAGTGCGGCACTGATAAAGCCACTGCGAAAGCTAAACGTGCACTGATCATGAATCTAACCGAACCGGTCTCCAAAGCATCTCAACACTAACGGAAGAACACCGGTTTAACGAACACGTCGCGTTTATGCACAGGGAGATAACGTTGGACTAGGAAAAGGAAGCATTGTTATGATATGAAAGACTCAAATGTGAGTTCAGTAGAATCATGTGTTCTCAAGGAATGCACTTGAACTTGACTGGAGCTGGGATTTCATTGAGGTACTGTGCCCAGCATGCCTTTACGTCCAATACAGGACTCCGGTTTCCTTTATTTATTGGCTCAACGACATCGAGACGAGTTTTCCAGACCAACAGACCAACGGTCTGTACAAACTCCCAAAATGGTTCTTCCAGTTTCATTAAGGCCTTCAAAACAAATGAATGAGCGCTACTAACACTCCTGGACGTTGTAAGATAACTTTAGACTTATTTATTTGTAGGCATGTTGTAAATGCTACGAGCCTAGGTTTAACTCCTAACCATGGAACAGAGACTCTTCAAACCACCACAGCGCACACTACTTTTACTTGGGACTCCAGTAGGGGTCACTGTTGACTACAGAGGACCAGTCTTGTTCATGTGGTGCTTTGCAAACGGGACTGTTTTTATTTCCTGGGTCAATATTAGCCTATTATTTTAATTTGTTTGTGTGTTTACATCAAGTAGAAAGCGCACACCTGACCAAAAGTGGGTCTGGTATAGTTTAAGGACTGTGTAATGTGTTGCCTATCAACTTTTGTATAGGCATTTAACCCTCAAGATCCATCATTGCCTAAAATGTTAGCTTGTGATTTTTGTCCTGAGCAAAGATAGTTTTCTCGTACAAATTATGCACTTTTTAGACATTGAATTTTAGAGCAAGTTGCACTACATGGTGGTTACATCAGCTGACTGGGTCTATGGTCATTGTTATTCTAACTGTTAAATAACATTGGATCGGTGCAGCAAAGCCTGTCAGAAAGTGCAACTAAGCTAACAATTCTCTCAAAATGTTTCTAATCAAGTACCGATTATAAGCGTAGCTTTCAATTTGTTGTTTTAAACCCATAAGATTATGAACTAACTCAGGATTTCTGTACCTACTTTAAGTTAACGCCAAGTTTTTCCAATAGTAGATTGGCTGAGGCAACGCACCACTACTACGTTTCATTGTGGACCAGTTGATGTTGACCATAAATGGAAAATGAGGAAGCGTTCACACTTAAGTCAAGTGCACTCGGTTCACTTCAGCTGTCGCATCAGTAGCCCTGTCACACATTACAATATATTGATGTTGTAAACATTTCTTGGGATAAACTATAATAATAAAATAATTGATACAATTACAAAACAACTTAAAAAACTTTGAACCATTTTTTATTTTTCTTTATCGTTAAAGCTATCAGCCAAAACAACAGAATTAAGTGATAATTAGCTAAAAACTGGACTTATTTGACACAAAAAAGTAGAAAATGTACAGATGATGAATATATTGTTCTAAACAAACGCATCAGCCCTCATAAAGTATCCATATCCTCTGCTGCAGAATAAGCAAAATGACTGAGGAGACTTAAAGCTGGGGTACTTAACTTTTAAACAATAGACATTTCCTCTGTAATGCCAGAAACTCAATGTAACCAATACTTGGCTCTTGTAACTGTTCGGTTCTAATTCTACTTTTCACAAGAATTTACTTTTAGCCTTTTGCTTTAGATCAGCTTTTTCAGACAGAAAAGTGAAAAAGAGAGGACCTCCCTCACTCAGCCAATCATCTCTCAGCCCAAAGCATCAAATAGTGACTCACAGGGCTCAAGTTAAAAAGTGTCTAATGATATGATTCGGTCTGATTTGTTAACATTTTACTCATAACAGCTGTGTTCTGTTGGGGCAAACATATTTTATTTATGAAGTTTGCTCAAAAGTGATGTACCTCAGCTTGAAGTGGACCCAGTGTGCAGTTGATTTGATTCTGTGAACGCAACCTTGATATCAAACTGCTGCTTTGAACTCTTCTGGGGAATGTGCACTAATCCTAATTTCACTTCAAATGATTGATAAATAATGAAGAGAAAAGACTTGTGAATAATAATGTGTCAATGTTTTGGTCGTATTATCATTTCACCCTTGAGTCTGCTCTTCTGGTCATGATGAGGTGGTTTTTTTAATTTCTTTTTTTTATATACCTCTTGGTTGTTTATACCTCTCAATGTTTTGAATGTGTCATCTATAACTTTGTAGCTCCAGGGAACATCTTATCAGCAAATGGATCTCTGAATGTAGTTCCTTTTTATTTTGGTTACATTGAAAGTGTTAAATCTGTGGCTCTTCCAAAACCATGTCATTTTTTGTTTTGTTTGATCTGTATGAAATAACATGGGAAAGCTCAATTGTATTGTCCTTCTACTTAAATGTTACTCAAACTCTTAAGTAGAAACTGCTCTATTTTGGAAGTTCTGTTTGTTATAATATATTTACAATGACGAGTAGTAAATGCACTGTTAGAATGTATTGTGTGCTTTTGTCTAGTTCTCAGATCGATCGGACGAGTAACACTAGTCTATATTTCCAAAGGGCCATCTGTTTGATAGATCAGTCTTTTTCTGCGCGCTCTTTACACAATAAACATGTATTTAATCTTTCATTTGATCATTATTTATTGAGGACAACAGACAAATTATTTCCATTTGGAAGAATCTATTTTGTACATCAACATAAGTCTCATCATTTGAATATTCTTTCCCATTTGCAAGGAGTAATCAACTAATCTAATGTTTTTATTCATCAGCAGTAATCCTGTTTAAAAATGAGTACAATCATGAAAAGTGCCAATCTCGACTGATCCCAAAATGTAAAGTGTGCAGATTCAACCCTATTATTTGCTGCTCAAGTGACGGTGTTCTGACTGGAGAAGAGATGCAATTAGATTTGACCTCGGGACTTGTCAACAGCGTTTAGAGAAAGTTGCATTGAGTTGTAACTGAGTTGTTTTTCCTTTTTGTTTTTGCTGTTTTTCTTGACTTTGATTTGTCCATCTCTGCAGAAACTGTGATTATGAAACCCAGCCTCCCCAGGTCCAGGTCCAACTGTTGAAAGCAGCTGAATAATGTAGGCTAGCACCATTCATCACGTATTCCCTCTTCTAACAGGTGACAAAAGTTGTTCTTTACGGAAGCTTTGTCCCGCTCTTCCTGCCCCATATGGCACCTCAGTGTGTTATTTATTTTAACACTATCTGAGCACTGTGACAGCCGCTCCCTACTCTGTCGAAACTCTCAGTAACCTTAACCGATCTCACCCAAAACCCAGCGCTATTATTTTGGGCTATTGTGTTATAAATTACAGTACAATTATGTAACTGTATTCACTGGCCTAAAATGGTCTAATCTTGGTGTTGACAAAGTTGTCGTTGAGGCAAGGGGTCCCTAACCTCTGGTCTGAAAGCTACCAGTCCTAGCTACCTTGCCAGCCCCTTTCAGGTAGCTCCCCAAGCAAGAATTGAACACATGATCTTGAAAGAATACAGTGAGTCATTTCATATCTACTTTAAGTATGAATATAGGGTTATACATTATCACAGTATTTTACATGTGCTCTCTGTGTGTCCTCTCTTGTTATTATTACAAAGATTTTTATTATGACTGCAAAAAAGAATCGCTCTCTTCCTCTTCTGTTGTATAGAAGCTCTCCGATTGAAAAAGTTTGGAGACCCCTGCTCTAACACAATATAGGTGAAAATCTCACTTAAAATGCAATACATAACATTCATTACACGCAAAGTACTGTATATAAAACTTAAATTTGTGATGTACGTTGTGAAATGAAGACAAGGCCGCAGCGATTGCACCTGTGCATGGTTTATTTTCAAGTCCCTCCAGATCAAGCAGGAGGAGATTTGTCTCGATATGCAGAAGAAGAGAAGATGTCATCAGTTGAGATGACTCATGCTTAAGATAAAGATACTGTAGTAACAATGTGGGCAAAACAAAGACGGACAGTGCTTCAGATAATGTTTAGCGGTAATACAGATATAACGGGTCCAAAGTACAAAATATGGGTCAGGTTTCACATGTCTGTAAATGGCTCACAGATTATAAAAAACCCCAAAAAAACATCTCAGAAAATTAGAATATTCTGAAAATGGACTTTAACCTATTATCATCCAAATTATAGAAAACAAAGGCTTGGCACATGTCACTGTGTGTCTTTGTAATTTATTGGTATTGGTTTCACATTTGAAGTCGAGACCTTTACGAAAAGTAAAATGTTACATTATGTAAAGCAACGTACTGTCTGAATGGGACCAGGCCGCAGTACCCCACGTGTCCACCAGGAGCTGTGTGGGAGTGGAGCAGAGAGTGGAGACAGACCGCAGAGCGCAGTGTGAGACGTGGTGCGTGTGAGTAAAAGTTCATCTCTCTTCTGGCCTCAAACAAACGGGACAGTGGCTTCAAGAGACGGATCATCATCAGCAGCAACAACAGCAGCAGAAGCAGCGCTAATGTCCCCGGCTCCTGAGGCTGCAGAGAGGCGCAGACATGGACGGAGGGATCACCATCACTCTGATCTCTGTGGCGATGTTTTTAGGATGTTTTATACTTGGATTTATCCCACTGTTATTCACGCTTTCGCAGGTAAGAACAGTTACACAACAGATCAAGAGGATGGCCTTGTTTCATTCTGAATGCAACTTTACCTTTTCTTGTAAAGTTATGCAAGAGTTCCTTCTATAAAAAAGAAAGCAAACCCAGATGTGGTTGGTTTGAGCTCATGTAGTTAAAGTCATGTAGAGTACAGTCGTAATGTCCCTGCAATGTTGCGACAGTTACAACTAAACCACGAGTTGCCAGTGTATTCACCTGAATCGGGACACACTGTTGCTGCTGATGATCCCTGATGCGCTTCACCTGCTGCGGTGGCAAACCAGACGAGGCTCATGCTGCTCTCTGATTGGATACTCCCTAACTGTAACATACATAACATAAATTATACAGACCAGACCTAATGTCTTTTGATAAATTATGTCATTTCTTTTTTTTAATATGCAATATTTCCAAATAGAATCTGTTCATGTTGACCTTGTGTCTGGGTGAAATTGTAAACTAAATACTGTATCTTTAATTTCCCCTGTTAACTACCTTACTTTTGTAATCCAGTCGCAAATGTGAACCCATGCACCAGTCAACATTATCTCCCTTTTCACTTATAGACAAATAGGGTCACATTTATTTTACTATCTTCATTCAAGCCACAACAGATGTCCTTTAAAGACTTAATATTAAAATAACTTCATGCTACAGAATTGCTGAACAATAGCATGTGGCCAATGTACGTATTTGTAAAATTGTGGTAGAGCAGGGGTCTCCAACATTTTTTGACTGGAGAGCAACGTTTAGATAACAGAAATGGCAAAGAGCTATTTTTTTTTTGTGTGTGCTTGGGGTCGTATAATAAAACTGCAGTCTATGTAATAACTACAGAAAATTGTGGAAAACACAACAATGTTCCAAGTTACTGTATAACTCTACATTAGTGAACATAATGAAAACATCCATCCATCCATCCATTTTCTTCCGCTTCATCCGTTGCCGTGTCGCGGGGGCAGCAGTCTAAGCAGAGACGCCCACACTTCCCTATCCACGCACACTTCCTCCAGCTCATCCGGGGGGACCCCAAAACGTTCCCAGGCCAGCTGAGAGACATAGTGCCCAAAACACCTCCCATAATGAAAACATAATGAAGGTGGTTAGCGAGCTACAGGTTAGAGACCACTGTGGTAGGTGGAGTATCACGCAGTAGGATGCTTGCTTATGGTCAGAATAGACTGATGAATGAGTCCTGACATACAGTAGAAGGACTCATTAACAAAAGGACTCCTGGCCTTCACCCCCACCACTGTCAAGACTGTACAATAAGTCACTTTTAGTCATTAATGACCTGCACTAGGACTGAAAAAACCCCGCACTACAGCCAGTTTTTATTGCACATAATATCCTGCTCATAAGAGACTATATTTTTTACCCTCAACATATATTTGCACACTTCCTGTCTTTATGCACAACCTGAGTGATTCTATCCATGCCAAATGTGACGTGTACATTTCTCCATTGTGAGATCAGTAAAGTTCTTATATTGTCTTAGTGTTAGCCTCAGAGTTATTAATCATCACGAGTCAGCAGTGCATTAAACGCCCCGTCATTGAAACATGTTGTCACAGTCAAACAGTCGTCTATTAGTTTAGTTATGCTCCATCAACTGTTGGTTAAGTGATATGTTACATAATGAAAACCCTTTATCATCAAGTGTGGCTCATATGTGGACAAAATGTACTTTCTTTTCACATTTTAAAGTAACAATAGTTGGTGTTGCATTGAACATTGTAAAAAATAGAACTGGCAGGACGGATAATCATCAATCACAAAGCTCCAAATGTGTGTGAAAGTGTTGTTGAGGCTTCTGACCACACTGCATTGAACTGTGGGTGCCTGGGGCCTGGATTCCTGTGATCAGCTGAATGAAGTCATGTGCTGTGTTTTCTCAGCGGAGCCTGAAGTTTCTCTCCATCCTGGGGGCGGGGCTGCTCTGTGGGACCGCCCTGGCCATCACCATCCCCGAGGGCGTGGAGCTGCTGGAGGTGGCCCTCAGTGGAGGAGGTAACGGATAAGTACAGCCTCAAACACACACTCGCTCCACTGTAATAAGCTTAATTATGTGTTCTCAAGGGTATGAGCCAAGTATACGTGTCTGTTTAAATATGAGCTTCCACTGTATGTAATAAATCTGCTCAAATATGGTAATAGTCAATATTATATAAATAATAGTTATGTTTTGGGACATGTTTGAAAACACTTTATACAGACAGAAGGTGAAATACCAGAACATCTCGGTGTTTAAATTTGGGCTGTAACAAGTTAATTGATTAACCACAACAAATTGATAATTGAAATAATTGTTAACTATTTTAGTAATCAATCAATAATAAAGGCTTTTTAACTTGTTTTTTTTAATTTATTTTTATTTGAACACACACATTTACATCCCTTTAAGTTATCAGTTCTTTAAGTATCAGTTATTTTAAAGACAGTGTTGTACACTTTTGATGATATTGCAAGAGTTTAAGAAAGTGCATCTTGGACGCAAGCTCTTCACATGTCATTACTCATTCACAGTGGTGATAAACTGTGTAGCTGACTGGCGGAGCCTAGGCAAGCAGTTCACACAGACTCTTTTGAGGCAATGTGGGTGAATGACCAACCGCAGTGGCACCTGGTGTTGTTCCCCATCACAGAACTAACCAGGCCCTGCCCTGCGAAGGTCTGACGGGATCTGGTTTTTCACTTTTATTCACTTGAGTTGAGTGATCAGTCATTGACATTTAGTAGACCAAAAATAACTCAGTCCTCATGAACAATGGTATGGAGACAGCAAGTAGAAGAATTCTAATACTTCTGCAGATGACAATAACAACAACAGTCCTGTGAGTGTAATATGTCCTATGTGACGTCTACTAATGATGATATTTCTAATATTTGTTCTGGATGTGTTCAGTGACACTGAGGTTTACAGGTACAAAACTGTACATTTGATATGGAACTGAGATCAAATCTTAAAACTCATTAGAGATGGGCTTGGCAATATACAGTTTCATGCCAGTTTCATGCCAAAGAGGAAGGTTTGACATTGATACTGGGTTACTTAGATGCCTGTCTTTGTATGTGGGACAGCAAACCAACTCTATCATTATAATATTATTTTTTCAAAATTGTATTTATTCCCCTACATAGTTGCTGCAGTGGTATGGTATGTTTTCTTACTATGAGTCGGCTTGCTTCTCCAGACAAAGGCAGCCACATATGTAACCCTGTATCCATGTCAAAGTTGGGATTAAACAGTATATTGCCAGCACATCTAATGAGCTTTAAAAGGATTTCAGCTCATTTCCATAACAAATGTACTTTACATGTAAGCCTGAAGCATTCATACTCTCCTCCTGTGATGTTTTCTTTCATGTGGATGTGATCAAAAGCTGTCGTTCTCTCCTTTGACCACAGACTCTGTGAAATCTTCCATCAATGAAACGCAGCACAACTCCACGTCCACAGAAACTGCCTCTTCGTACAAGTTTATTGTTGGAGTCGCCCTGACCTTCGGCTTCCTCTTGATGTTCATCGTGGATCAGATTGGAAGTTATCTTTCAACTAGAGGTGAGAACTGTCTGCACAATATAATTTTACTCTGCTGTTCAGGCCATAGCTGCATTGCTTTTGGATTAATTTTTGATGGAAAAATGTCTAAACAAAATAACTATATTTGAGGTGGCTGGAGGAAGTGTGTACGTGAGGCCTCAAATTTCACGAGAAATGTGCGTCGAAACAAAATGAAAACTTCTACAAACATCTTCGAAAGTTCCAGCACAAAAGACATTTGCGTTCTTTGACCAAATCTCTAATTTTTAAGCCATTTCCTAACCCTTAACTTCATAAATGAGAGAAGATAATGCAACACCCGATTCAGAATGACATGTTTTTCTGGAGACTGACCATTATGTCAAAATGATTTGCAGCATATATTGTTAAATGCATACTACTTACTGGTTGATTATAGTTATAGTGCACCAGGAAACATAGTGTTAAGGAATCACTAGGTGCACCTTGGATTTTGGAAACGTTTTTTATTTGCTTTGGCTAATGTAAAAATCCTAAGTCAATAATTGTGAGTGTCTCAGCCAAACATTTAGTTAATGAATAATACACGTTGTTCTGTTGGAACAATCATAGAATAATCTTAAAAGAATACATACCGATTGACTGAGTGAGGGTCCTCTCTTTTTCACTATTCTGTCTGAAAAAGATAATAATAATAATAATAATCTTGTTCTGGGCTTTTAGGCAAATCGCCGTGTTTGTCGAACGCTGGACTCACTGCCACTCTGGGGCTGACAATCCATGCCGCGGGTAAATATGTGTTTAAATCCGAGCTGAAAAACATCCAAAAGATCTTTCCCACAAACCACTGACTTTCCTCTTCATCATCTGTGTGTCATCACGTAGTAACTGCCCTGCTTTTAGTTACACAACAATAAACAACATTCATCATTTTACCCAGACACTATAATGGAATACTTTCAATGTTTAAAGAAGTGATAGATTCATATGTTTTAGTTCATATTGTTTGATCTGTCATGTTTGTGTTTTGTGCACTCAGCTGATGGATTTGCCCTCGGTGCAGCCGTGGCCACAGCCAAAGTAACTGTACAAGTGATCATATTTTTGGCTGTAATCCTACACAAGGTGAGATTATAAAGTCAAATTACTTATTGTTAGTTTTCCTCAGCTTGTCTAGCTCCTGTGTGCCTTGGGCAAATATATACCTGGTAATATCAACATTCACTCCCACAAAGACGCAGTGACAATAGTGTGTTCACTCTCACCGACTCTCCCTTGAAATTCTTTTCAACCCAGGTGCAACGCTAGAATAACAAGACTACTGGGAGTGCAATAAAAAACAATCCTAACACTTTCACAACATACAATTTATTTTTGATAACAAAGTATTTTAAGACAATCGATTGGCATTGGCCTTTGAGCCTGAAGGTCGTGGGTTCAAGCCCACCGTAAGACCTACTTCACGACTCCCACTGATCACTGCTGTCGTCGTGTCCTTGGGCAAGACACTTAACCCCACTTTGCCTGAAGCCCCCACTGAAAGATCTCAGCTCCTGTGGACTCACCACCTGCGGGAGGATCAGTGAGGGGCTGGTGCTATGTGTACTGGGTGGCATCTCTGGCCACCCCCCCCCGACCCAGAAATGGATTAAGGGGAAGAAAATGGATGGATGGATGGATGAATGGATTTTAGTATGTTGATACATTTACTCTGATTTTTTCTAATGTGCACCTTTTCTACGGGTTTTTATTATTCAAAGATTCTCCTTTAACCACCACTTAGATCGCTTGTATTCAAACCGCACAATGGCGTCACACATGCATATATTATAATATTTTAATCACTGACAGTGCATGTCAATAAAAAAAATTATATTAAATCAAAATATTTAAAATAACAATAACTACAGATATAATAATTATAAGTAAAAACATACATTACAACATATATTCATAATCCATCAAGAGTCCATAATATTTGAGTCTATATTATTGTACATATCCTGTTATTGCGCTAACATCTGGAGTATTACTAGCTTTAGCCTGTGCTGCAGAGGCATGGGTTCAGAGGCCACTCCATGGATGTTGCTGCAAATATTCCTCTTCCATAAAGTTGCTTAGTGCTTGAAGAATGTGCTCAGTGGTGACATCAGCGATGATGTAATGTGTGTGTGGCAGGCTCCTGCGTCCTTCGGCCTGGTCTCGTATCTGATGCACACAGGACTGGAGAGGAAGTACATTCAGGGACATTTACTCGCCTTCTCTGCTGCTGCTCCAGTCGTCGCCATCACCACTTACTTCATTTTACATGCAGTAAGGATCACTCTAATCCCATTTTTCATCCTTTGAACAGTACTCAACATTTTTTGCACAATGTATTACAAACCACATGCTTTCCCAAGAGTTAAATTAAATGATTTCTAACATAGGACTGCATGTGATTTTATGCTCTAACTCTTCTACTATGAGATAAAAACGTGCGAGAAACAAGAAAGTGTGGATAATGATCTCAAACGCAGTAAAGTAATATACTCAAAATTAAAGTGATTCTCCTTTGTTACTTTATAACACTGGCTCTGTGAAAGTTTAGTTTAAATATTTAATACTAAGCATAAAAGTGGGGTATTTAAAAGGGATGTTATAAACTAATCTTCTCCAATCTTCTTCATATATTCTCCATGTGTTTTAATTGTTGATTCTCTGACCTGTGTTGGTGATTTCAATGGTTTTGTTAAGTCCTCTGAGATGACTTCTGTTGTGACCTAGGGCTATACAAGAATACATTGTATTGTATTGTATTGTATTGTAATCTGTTGAAAATGGTAAAAGTAATTTTCTTACTCGAGCACACTCTTTGTATGTGTGAAGTAAGTAAGGGGAAACAATAATCCTAATCTGTCTTTCAAAAATGTCTGATATGAGTAGTTTGTGGCGACTGTGAAACATGAAATCATTAGTAAGACAATGTAATTAACACTTACAGTTTGTCCAATGCAAACGTGACATACTTTGTGGTTTGTTCTTATCTGTGATGTGTTTTTTAATGCTGTGTCAACAAACGTTTTTTTAAAGTAACTAATACTGGGTTAGTTAATAGATAATAATGCCCTGAAGAGGTAGGATGTTATTACCAGATATAAATACAGATACTTGGTTACGTTCTTCCTCCGTTAACCTGGCGCTCTTTTGTGTGTGCGCAGTCCGGCTCTTCTGTGAACCAAAACTGTGCCACTGGTATCGGGATGTTATTCTCAGGCGGGACGTTCCTTTATGTGGCCACGGTGCACGTCCTTCCAGAGATCAGCAGCAGGGCGGGCGAAACGGACACTCTCCAGCCCCATCTGGAAGGCCAATCGCACCAACGCTACATGGGACTCCCCGAAAGCCTCACCCTCATCCTGGGACTGGGGCTGCCCGTTTTACTTGCCTTGGGGCTAAACGACGACTGAACAAAAGTCGATATTGAAAAGTTTAGCATTTCAGCCCGTGTCGCGAAACGATATGCTTTGATTTGGAGCCAAAATATGTCTCACAGCGTGTAACAAAAGACTGCTTCTGACGAAATTGAAGCTACATTATAACTTCTGGGGGAACACCCAAAAACCCGATACACCCGGTTTTTCACAAAGGAAACCAGGCCAGAAGTACCCACCAGTTTTCTACTAACATGCAACGGCGTTTATTTGTGTACCAAATACTTGAATAATGGTTTCAGGTAACAGTTGTCCGTGCAATACAAGAAGCATACATGGTCTTAAGGCTGTAGACTAAAGACAGATGTTTTTTTTTTACGATGAATCCGTTTGGAATGTATTGTTAATCATATTTATAATGCTGACTAAAGACACATGTATGCTTGAATATTGAATGCTAGCTTTGTATTTTGATAATGTTGTTAGTCAAAGAGCTTATGGAAAACTTTGCATATGAATATGTAGTGCACTTTGATGTCCATAGGTTTGTTTTATTATTATTGCATTTCTGTGTTTGGCTCGCTGATCTGTGTTGGTGAATCGACAATTTTGTAAAGTCCTCTGAGACAACGCTTGTTGTGATTTAGGGCTTTACAAAATAAATAAATTGAATTGAATAATTAAAGCTACTTTACGTGACCACATTTCTTTTGCAGTTAAGACTGAAGGATGCCACCCACTCGTCAATGACTTGAGAACCATTTAATGCCAGACCAGTAAACTCAAAATTATAATTCTAAATATGTTTACAGTGCCTGGCTACATAGTCTGAAAGCTCAAAAACTCAGAATATGCGTTTTATTTCAGAACACATATTTACTTATGCTACTTCTCAGTTAAACAAACATTAGCATTAGTCCTGACTTATAGAATAATGCACTGCAGGCCATATCAATGAACACAATGTAAAACTGTAGCTTTCTTTTTTACTTAAACTTACTGTTTACTTTGAACATTGCACAAAAACACGTTCTACTTTGGGCCGAAAGTTTCATTGAATTCTCTTAAAACTAATAAATGTATAAACTGCAAGAACAGAGCAGTAATGTGTGCTGCCTTGTGGGATTTCTGTGCCTTTAAATGAAGCCATGTATCGTTTGACACATCCTCCTTTTCTTTTTATCTTCAGCCTCCAGACACGCTGCATATGGATTACATGCATAAAAGTGATGCGAGATTTATGAGGGCACGAAGGAGACCTGAAACTTTGTGTCCCAGTGTGAGCTGATGTTCAAAGACAACCCATTTATTTTTCCTAATGTTTTATTCAGCAAAAATACTTTATGGAAAATGTAAGTCATATTATTCACCATGCAACACAGCTTTTCAAATATAGACCACAGAAAGCTACACATTACAACAGAATCAGACACACAATAAATAAGAGATAATACAAAGGAATATATTTAAGGCAGAACACGTTCATCAGGCAAATGAGGTGTACAAATTAATTGTATAAATCATATTTGGTTTTGCGTGTACTGGGTGCAGCTCTGACTGCCACCCCCCCGACCCAGAAATGGATCAAGGGGAAGAAAATGGATGGATATTTGGTTTTGCTTCCAGGTTTCGGCTGTTGCTGCCTCATCCAATCATGTGCCGGTATCTTGCCTCTCCAATCCTCTGTGATATTGTACGTTTTTATAGGTAATTATAGCAATTCAAACATCTCATGTAGGAAAATTAAACTTTTAGACTAAAATTATATAACATTATTAAACTATTACAAGTGTATTATTGTCGTATACACATTATATGCAGCGAGATTCTTATGATGTGTCAGTGACAGTGCACACAACATACAATAGATACACAGAGTTAGGCTTGCTTTAAGAGTTGTATGGCTTTGGGAAAAAAAAGCTTCTTCTCATCCTCTCAGTTTAGACTTTGAGGAAACTATAGCACCTCCCAGATGGCAACAATGAACAGTCTGTGATCCGGGTGGCTACTGTCCTGTACAACCTTCTGGGCTCTTTGGTAGAATTCTTGGATGTGAATGTCCTCCAGTCAAGGAAGGTCCCAAATCATCATAATATTATAATTACTGGTGTTGGATCCTTTTTTATTACAAGCCCAATTATATAATCATAATAATAATGTATAGTTTTTATATAGCGCTTTTTGGACACTAAAGGACTCTTCACATGGCATTATTGTTTCACTCCAACACAGTGGTAATAAACTACTGTAGCCACACCTGCCCTGGGGCAGACTCGCAAAAGAGAGGCAACCAAACATTCACACTCACACACCACTCATTCTAGGCAATGTGCAGGAAGTGGCTTTCCTAAGCACACAACAGTTTGGCAATTTACAGCCACAGCCGCCTCAGTTTATGTGGGACAATATTTTGATACAACGACCTAACAACTTATCTACAAATAAAAGTAGAACAGAGTTGGAATATATCCCAAGGACTCATGTAAGTTCCCATTACAAATAATCCTCACACATACACATATACACACACATAAATTCAATTATTCCAAACAGTAAAATCAGATCACATAACGTCTTTTGCTTACTTGTAACAAGTTGGGCTGATAGCTGAATGAGGGTGATCCTTTCTCTTTTACTTTTCAGTCTGAACAAGCCGATTTAATGATGTGAAATCGGCCAAACATACATGCATGTGAAAACTAGTGATAGAGTGGAATATGGGACTCACTAGAGTCCAATAGTGACAGAGGTCCATTTTATGAGAGTTTGAGTGAAACTCAATTTCTGATACTGTTCATTTGATAGAAGTAATTATTTGCTTTGGTGGCTGCAAAGCAAATAATTACTTTTTTGTTTCTTTTCTAACAAAAAAATATATTTTATATTAATTCTTGACATCCCTGTTGCTAGGTAAGCTTCACATGCCCCATAGCAGCATTGAGTTGAGCCTCTCTAACCATCTGATCAAAGTTATTGCAGCTCGTGTGCATTCTGACTCTGTGCCTGAGCTGAAACGACGCTCGGGCCATTATGTGCGCCTCCTCTTGTATCTGCTCTCTCTGCCTCCTCAGCCTCTCCATCCTCCTCTCCTTCATGGCCACGCTGGTCTCCTTCCTCCTCCTCACCTCCTCATCTTCAGCCTGTAGCTTCTCCTGCAGCAGCTGGTGACACACCCGTCTGAGTCTGTTCCTCTGCTTGATCTGCATGGCTTTGCTCCTGCTCATCTCAGACGCATCCTGAGCGGCTTTCTCCATCTTCCGCTGGTTCACTTCATACAATATTCTTTTTTGCATCAGCTGCTCTGTCTTGTGCAGTGTCGCTCTCAGCTTTGCCTTATGAATCTGCTCTTCTTCTTGGGCTCCTCTTTCCCTGATTCCCCTTAAGCGTGCGTCCATCACAGCAGTATATTTCTTAGTACAGTGGTCCATCTTCCTTAGCATCTCGTGTCTCCTCTGCCCCTCCATGTCTTGTTCCTCTTGCTCCAATCGCTGCTTTGCAAAGACATGCCGCAAAAGCTCATTCCTGTTCTCCTCTCGAAGTCTCCTCCTGTCCTTCATCTCCTGCAGTGCCTTGCTCATCTTGGCCCTTTGCTCCCTCTCCACAGACACCAATATTTCCCTCTGCAGCATTTTCTGGTCCTCTTCCTCTCTGCATCTTCGCAGCCTCTCTTGGTTGCGTTTTCGCTCTTCTGCATCCTTCACAGCTGCCATCCACTTTTCCTTTCGTTGATCCTCCATTTCTTCTTTCAACCTCCTCCACTTGTCTTCATGCACCTTCATCTCCTGTTCGAGCTGTGTTGATTTATCCTTTTCTAGTTTGTGCCTAACTCTCTTTCTCAAATCCAGCTCCTCCTGCCAACGCTTCATCCTCATCTTCAGCTTTTTCAGTCTTTCTTTCTCAGCCTCCAATTTCTCCTCTTCCTCTTTACACCTGGCTTCTTGTCTTTGCTGTTGCTCCTTGTAACTTTGATCCAGTCTGTTTTGCTCATCCTCATGCCTCACCAGCATGAGTGCAGCAATCTTGCGGTCTTCATCTGACACTGTGACTTTCATTTCCTTATGAATGGCTGTGGTGATTCTCTCCAGTTTCCTTTCAGAGGCCGGGGACTGTCTCAGATCTCCAAGACTGATGCTGCTGAGAGTGCTTCTTCCATCTTTCTGTTTGTTGCTGCTACTTATAGACTTCCCTTTGTAACACAGATCTGCGTATGGGGGCTCATGGGATTCATCTATTCTGGGTTGAGTCTTTCTAGGCATAACTTTTGGAGCATTTTGATGTCCACGCTGAGACTTCCTGGGACTGTCCTCTGCACATCCTTGAATCAACCTCTCTCTTTCCGCGCGGCACGTTTGCAAAAGCCTCTTCCTTTCCCTCTCGAACATTTCGTGCATGACTTTTACGACCTCAAAAGGCACGTCCCGCCGCTCAGTCTTCAATTGGTTCAGGGATTTTATCAACAATTCAACAGGTTTGACACCGAGGCGCTCGCAGGACTCCAAAGAGCGCGGACTGGTCAAAACATAGCGACTCCTTTGCGCTTCCACAGATTCAAAGTTGTTCAAATCCAAGTGAAGCACAGGGGATGCAACGTTAGAGCTTATTTGTGTCATAATTAAAATCTATCTCGACAGTTTCAGTGGTAGAATTCTTATAGCAGTGTGTCTTCTGCTTCGCTGGCGCAGTTGTGATGAGGTCAGGAAAGGATTACCTGGGTCTTATTTGTAATCGCCGTCCGCCTCTGTGTCCACTGTGTTTAAAGAAAGTCATGATGATGGAATCCTGCAGAGAAACATACTATTAGTAACTAGAGTCTATGCCTAACCCTTGCGAGAAAATAACATGCATGCAGATGTAGCAAAGTCATTTTTAGTGACCGCTCTCAAAACTTTACAGTTTTTATTTATTTTATTAAGTAATATATGAATTAAACAGTTATTACTTTATTTTTATTATTTTATTATTATTATATTTTTTTTGTCCTGGTCTTTGATTTGTTGTGCCGCTTTGGTCCTCCAGCCACTCCCGTGTTTGTATTTGTTCTTCGTGTGCCCCTCAGGGTATGTTCATTTTGTGACCAGATAAAAGAACGCCTCGAAAACTTGTCTCCCGTGTGTTCCTCAGTACCAAAACACAAAACAACACATCGCAGAGCGGAGAAAATCAGACCCGCTACACAGACTGTATTTAAGTGACTAAACTATAGCCTAATTCTGAAAAATGACAGCATGTTACTTACAATTATATGCACCCATTTATCAATCGCATTGCAAATCAGCCTACACCAGTCTCTGTAAATGACAGATCAGAAACATGCATGCTGGACAGTGAGTGGAAGCGGTTTTGGTTCCCATAGAAACATTCATGACTTTCACTTTGCCTGCAGCGCCATCGCGTGTTCATAATTGACCAGATACGTTATCTGCGCAGAGATAGCGAACATAGCTGTGGTTAGTCTTTCGGTGTAGTGTGGATTAGCATGAAAGATACTCCTACAGACAATAATTACAAGAACAAATAGCATAAACTTGTCATATTTAGTTGCGTAATATTTAAGCTACTATATAACTGCCGTTAATTTATAAAATCCGTCACATGAGTGATGAGCAAACCGTTGTTGCTTGCCTGGATTGCCGCCTTCTATGTTACTTTTCCTGCTTAAGCAACCGTATGTAAACTAACTGCTATATATCTGTTCGAAGTTACTGTCTATGGATGAAATGTTTTGAACCCTGATCCTTAGATAGTGTAGACTGTAGTAGCTACACCTAACAGCTACTGTAAATATTATTGCTGTGACATCTCTAACTGAAAACATCTCTTCCTCTTCCTCTCTGACGTATTTCCGCGGGTTTTCCCGGACACCGCTTGAATTGAGCCTCTAACTTTCGTTCATAGATGTTTTATATTCTCTGCCGTTACACAAATACATAGTAAAAGAGCTATTACAAATAACGATATTACGTTTAATACATCGTATTGAGTAAATAACTAGATACTTTCTAAGTCGGATCATAAACGACGCTACAACCTGACACTCGCCCTTTCGTCTGGTAACTAACATTTTAATAAGCGACACTAGTTAGTCGTAACTAGTTGTTATAGATTAAGCTAGATGTATTTGTCTTGTTATTTGTAATTCATCATTGACATTTAATGTAATATTGTTTCCAGGTAAACGGTAACTTTCATGCTAACAAGTTCCGAACTGCTAACCGCTAGCGCCAGAAGTGATTCAGGACTGAATGTCATTTAGAGTTTAAACCAAATACACTTCTGAAACAATTATGCTTTGGGAATTCCTGATCTTTTTAGACCGATTTTCTCAAAAAAATCGCTCTATACAGAGATTTTCACACGAAGAAGGGACATCAGTTTTTGCTTGGGATTATGTGTTTACAAATAAACATTGGGCATGGGTTTGGCCCATGGATGTATTGTAATATACAAACTAAAGGTTTGGCCTTTAGCTGGAAAGGTTATTGTTACCAATATGATCCGTTTTGTGTGCTTAAAATACAAATGTCGTCATACTTATAAAAAGATCATTTTTTGTTTGTTTTTCTTATGTTCAAATTTTTTAATAATGTTAATTTGTTTGTGAATGGAACACCTAAGTAGAACTTATTTTTAACAAATAAGATTCTTGTTTTCCACATATTTGATTTCTTTCACTTTTGTCTTTTAATTAGTAGTTAATAAGTGTATTTGAATAAATAGTAATAATAGGTGATGTTGATGTTGCTAACATTTAACACAAAAAATAAAAATGTGCCCAGTGTTGTTGTTTATACTTGTGTCTTTTATTTAGAAACAGATTTGTCCATCTATTGACTAAAGATGAGAAAGTCACTGGAAGGCGATGAGAGTGAAAATGTCAGCAGTTCCCACAAATCCTCCAAGCCTCCCACGGCCCGAAAGCGATCAGAACCGAGACAAGAAAGAAACGGTGACAATTCTGATGTTGGCTCGGGGAGTCTGCTGGACGAAGACAATGCGGTCAACAGACGGGAAATACGGAGCAAGTACCGAGATCTAATCAACTCAGTGCAACGTGAGTGAACTTCAACATGATTCCTCAAATATTATCACCATATTAGTAATTATCAATACTGTTTTTTAAATTGAATTATTGACCCCTCTACTGCTGCCTTTTCTCTTTGTCTTTGCCTACACTGTATCTGCTGCATATAAGTGCATTAAGTAACAGTCTAGGCTGTATTAGTCTTTGAAGTTTCCAAAACCAGCCAAAAATCCAAAATATTACAAACTTTGTTTCAAGCCTTCCCCAAGCAATTAGCATGCATGTTTTATCCATGACCCAGAAATGGATTAAGGGGAAGAAAATGGATGGATGGATGGATTTGATCCATGACTCAAACAACTACAATTGACTCAAATACTCTCTGCATTTGCACAAGAAAAAGCTGAAAGCTGCTGGTCCCAGGTCTGAACCAGAACTGAAGAGGGCTTTTGACGTGGCTGGAATTGACGCTGTGAAGCAATATTGAACAATATATTTTTTGTTTTCTTCCAGAGAATCGAGATCATATGCTAAATCCTTCCAACAACATGCTCACAGAGGTTTTGGAAGAAGCAAATAACCTTTTTAAGGATGGTATGTACGGACTGCAGGTAATACCGTTTCTTGGTAATGTGTTGTCTCTCCCCCTTCTCAGTACGACAAACCAGAGAAGCGGCTCTTGATGCTCAGCTCATTGTTGTGGCCACTGACCTTGGGAAGGAGAAGGCCAGTCAACTGTTTTCTGAGGGTGCCGCTTTTGATCCCTCTGCTTTTGCTGAGAATCTTGTGAGCATTTATTACAGAACAGGATAGTTTCAATCGAGTGAGTAATATGTTCTAATGTGTACTGTTTCCTCTCTTATGTTAGTTATCCTTCATGGGTCTAAACCGGTTAGAGGGTGGAGAACATGAGCCTCAGAACGGAGGTGATGGCTACCTGCCCAGTGATGCATGGGACCGACTTGCACGCAGAGCAGAGACCTGCTTCAGAACAGCCCCAACTTTCCACTACATGTGAGTTTCTTTCTATAATGTAAATGTTCTTCTAATATCTTTCATGGACAAATTTTCTTGACGGGCAAAAAATTACTAAAAGAGAAGAAAACGAAAATGTCTAGGTGTAAAGTGAAAAAAAAAACCTTATTTGATGCTGGATTGATAATGGGTGGTGTTTGCAACCCGGAAAACGAGGAACAGGATATATACGTTTTTTATACACATATTGTATATTGTCTACACAAAAATAAATAAAGAAATTACCTTGTTAGCCTCACCCATTTTCATAATTAGATTGGTTTTACTTTTCCAGGTTAGGTTCATTTCATGCTGAGCCACCTCCACCAAAACAAAGAATTGAGAGACAAGTGAGAGCACCAAACAAGGAAGCAAAAAGAAATATGCCAACCCAGGTAAAAGTAGCGTGTCCTTAATTTCTACTTGCACAATTCCATAATGCTATGCTGTAGATGACGGATTCATTATTTTGATTGCGAGTAAAGATGCTGCCAAATAATGGGGAAAAACAAATATTGCTGAGCTCATAATTGCTCCAATAATGTAAAAGATAACCTGGAACTATAGATTTACAGAATACTGAACACGCCTTTATGATCAGAGTACTTTTCGGTGGCGTTATGTTATCTATCAGTATTACAACTAAGTAGTAGTAATTTGTGTGTTTTAATAATGAGGTTTAATTTTGACAGCAGCATAACTTTAAATTTTTAATGTTCTTGTAGCTAAAGAAAATGGAAGAATCTCATCAAGAAGCAACAGAAAAAGAGGTGGAAAGAATCCTGGGATATTTGAAGAGTTATCACCAAGACGATCGTGAGTCATGCTCATAACAGTTTGACTGTTTTTGTTAAATCTAACATCATTTTCTTTTTCAGCCACGACTCCGATATCATACTACGAGTTTGTCGTTGACCCAAACTCATTTTCCCGAACAGTAGAAAATATGTTTCATATGTCTTTTTTAATCAGAGTAAGTCCTGTGTCGTCTGAGTTTAAATGAAAGAAGCTTTCTGTTCATTTTTGAATCATTTCTTTGTCAGGATGGTTTGGCGGGCATGTACCTAGATGAAGACAAATTACCTTGTATAGGTGAGATTTCATTTTAACTTTGCAACAAAGAGACACATTTTGAATTACATTATTTGAATGTATTTGTAAAGCTCCTGTAGAAGAAGGGATGGATGGTGAAGGCTCAAGTCAAAAACAGTGTGTAATCTCTATAACCATCGACACCTGGAAGGCAAGTGCTCGTTTAATCTCTGCAGGCAGTTTTGAATAATGACAAAATTAGCATGTGTGGTGGTTAATCTTTACATGTCAATATTGGCTAAAGCAGCTTTAAGATAATCCTTGAATCTCTCTTGAATCTGCAATACTCAAGTAAACTCTGAAATAAATAAAGCTTCTGAATCTAGTCAGCTCTGGATCACGTATTGTCACAGCTGATCTGCACTCTGTTGCCCTCTACTGGCCATGTTGTGGTCTTTAACTATTATGTTTTCATCATTTGATAATTTCGACAATAATCAGAAGATACTATAAAATAATTTGAACTGTTGTAATTTCTTATGTTTTCTTTCAGGAGCTCATTGAAGCGTTTGACATCAGCGAAGCAATGATTCGACCTCTGAGTGAAAGTTGAAATTCAGCACTGTTTTAAATGTGTGGACCTTTTTATTAGAGAATATTTTAAATGTTGTTACCCTGTGTACATTACTTTTTATGAAGTTGTTCTGATTTGTATATTGATTTTAAATGTTTAATAAAATAAATTAGACACACTTGTGATAGTTAATACCGTAGCACAGAGGGAATGGGTGTTGAGTGACTGTAGGCTTTATAGCTGGGGTTCTTAAACTATTCCAAATATATGTGAATTCAAATTTCAACCCTTACTACTGAATATCTTTTCTAAAAGCCGTAATAGTATGATGTGGCCAAAAATCATAGAATGTAAATATTAACTAAAAATGCTACAAATAAAGCATGCAAGGGAAAATGCGCTGAAAAAATCCAACTGCGCTAGAAATAATTTGTTTGCATAAGATGAGCATAACACCTTTTCAACTTGTTTTCCTTTTGATCTCTGCTCAGATAAAATATATTTGTGTTGCATGTTTTTTAGAGTTCCCCCACCATTCCATCCATCCATTTTCTTCCACTTGATCCACTTCTGGGTCGGGGGGGTGGCAGTCAGAGCCGGACCCAATTCACAGAGCACCAGCCCCTCACTGATCCTCCTGCAGGTGGTGAGTCCACGTCTGTCATAGCCTTGTTCGTTTAGCGGGGGCTTCAGGCAAAGTGGGGTTAAATGTCTTGCCCAAGCACACAACAACAGCAGACATTAGGAGTCGATGGAGAAGGTCTTGAAACCCACGACCTTCAGGCTCAAAGGCCAATGCTCTACCAACTGAGCCACTGTTGCCCCAGTTCCCCAACCAATATGGTCAATTTATAAGCACAGGATGGCAGGTGTATCGTATAGCACAGATAAAACAAATAATCACGATATATCAAAGAGAGTGGATACAATTTGTCACTTTGTAAACACAGCTAAACTGTTTTTAACCTGGATTTGAAAATTCAGAGCAGAAGTCTATCTCACATTTTCAGGAAGACTGTATTTTAGGCTGCATACAATCTAAAATGCTGTCACCTCATATATACACATTAGAATATCATATTTATATTTAAGGGAAGAACATGTTTTTTTCTTTTTCTTCTCCCTATGACGGAGCAGAAGTCCTCTCTCCTCCCTGGCTTTATACAGACACAAACTGCTGCTCTTCCCTCTCTCCCTCTGTGTGTGTGCATGAGATTTTTCCCTCCAAAGCCCCGCAAGTGTAAGTGTATGTGAGTGTGTGTATGTGTGTGTGCTCGGCCGTGCAGCAATGAGAAGCTGAGCACACGAGGCTGCCTGGAGACGAGCCGCGCTACACTTCGCACACTTATCTGATTAGCCTGCGGTTCTGGACTTTATGCAACGATGGCTTGAAATCGATGTCAGTGGCGCGGTGAGGGACCGGCACAGGGGCGGACACTCGCGCTCACTGTTGCTCCAGTGTTCAGATCTCGACTGGTCCCTGCGATGCTGAGCTGTACCATCAGCAAGGATGCAGTTCTGCAGGAAGGTTTTGTGCAAGCCATGTAGCGCCAGAGTCACTTCCCCGGAGGAGGACATGGAATACAAGATGGGCAACTGCATGGGGATTGCAAACAGAAAGGTAAATAAGATGGGAGTGCCTGGTGTTATGAGTGAGAAACGATGAGATGAGGCAGAGACAGAGATGCTGCACTCATGTTGGAGGAGGGGCAGTGATGGAAGAGTTAGAAATGGTACAAGAATCAAAAGGACAAAATGAACAGTTCACTTGCCTTGAATCATGTGATATGGGAGAAAATCTGGGTCCATATAGTGCTGCTGTTCTACTGTAGTTCAACCATAGAGGGTACACTTTGTGCTAGTCACCAGCCTGGAGAAATGGAGATGATGCCAGAACTGGAAGGGAATAGTACACAGCAATGAAAAATATGTATGGGTCCTAGAAATTTTTCATCATGATTTGGTTATTTGATAATTATGATTATTCAAGTCTTCAACATATAATAAAAATAAAGCAAACAGTAGACCATATAAGTGTCAGTGTTTCTACTAAAATGTCATGCTGTTTACTTAATTTAGAACATTTGGAACTTAATTTAGAACAGGTGATTTTCAAAAGAATGCATATTTCATATATATAAACATTTGTCAGATGAATAAATAGGATACAATTGAATTTTGCATTATTATCGTACAGTGACATTTCTGTACATTACATGACATTACATTTGTCTCATTTTTTATTTTCACATACTTTTGTTTCTGAATATCATTATTGAGACAGAAACGAAAGAAACTCTGGAAATTAGAAAAGTCTTCTGTGTACTTCTGTGATTCCATGTGAAACTATATATGGCATTCTCATCACATGCAAAAAGAGATATATTAAGCCTTTAGTGGTGGATAATAGGCTCACAGCTTGTAAAACCCCAAAATAAAACATCTCATAAAATTAGAAAATGGCCTTATGACCTAATTATCATAATAGTAATAAAGTTATTACAAACAAAGGCTTGGCATATGTCCCTTTATGTGAAGGAGTCTATAACATATAATGGTTTCATGTTTTAAGTTGACTTATCTCCGATACAAATATGTACTAAAACAGATTTTACACTGCTATAGTATTAGTGCAGATTTATGGGAGAGAGACTCATATTACCCCTTGAGTTTTTGAATGATGAGAAAAGAGGACCAACATTTTTCAAATTACGATTTCCCATTCACAATAAAATCAAGTATTACAAACGGGAAAAGGTCCTCAAAAGATGTATGTATGATGCATGTAACAGGAAGCTGCAACCCATAAATGTCATGGCCACTGTTTGAAACCTGTTGCTCCATGGATTATTGTATTGTATTGGATAGTACTTACGTTGTTATTATTTCCACTGAGGGTCTCGGAAACACAACACACTGTACCATATCCGGACCCCCTCATTCTGCGTCAGGCAGACATGGCTCCTGCAGGTCCAGTTCTGGACACTTGCAAATGTTTCTTCCTGTGTTGTGCCCACCTCAGACCCCTCAGCCTGGTGTCCTTTCCTCTCACACTGGTCACTTCCAAAATAGATCCAGGAACAGGCTCTCTGCAGTCTGGGAGAAAACTCTGTGGCGAAAAACATACTGGATTAAATGTTTGTTTGAGGTTTTTTGTGAAGATCTGTGGTGAGTAGTTACAATGTTTGAATAAGGGTTTAGGATTGGCAAGTTTGCTAAGATTCTTATTACTGGGAAGATTGTTGGCATTTGATAAGACAAAATGTGTGCTTTGGAATCAAATTGACTCACTGCATTAAAGTGATTTAATATTGGGAAGGGAAAAGAATATCTGGATAGAAGTCTTTATGCTGAAAACAAAATACTTTGTCTGGGTTTCAGCAAATGAGTGTCATTAAGGTGGCAGTGACAATATAACTTGGTTCAATTGTATTTTATAATGGCTTTCAAACATGTTGCAAGATTGTTTTGCATGTTCCAAAGAGGAGTAAGCTATGCACCTCCTCTATAAATAATCTTTGAAATTAGTTTATGTAACAGGCAGTGGACAGGCCAAGATGAAGTGTGAACACATGATAATGACAAAATGTCACTGTTGCTGCCAAAATCTCATGTAAACAGTGCGCCCAGTAAAAGTGCACATGGGTCCAGACTGAAGGGGCTGAAATTACACCCCATTCACACAAATAGCCAATGGTCAGAACAAGACACAGCATGACCCAACTGTGGAAAAGGAAAGCACATCCAAGAAATACTGTTTCACATTTTCATTATTGTGAGACAGTCTTTATGGTCGTGTTTGTGTTATTGCTAATAAGAAATGCAGGGGAAAAAAAATCTATTTATAATGTTGGTATATATCCAGGTCAGTGATTTCTAACTAAACTGACAGTCCCTGCGGTGCTATGAGCAATGCACACACAGACGGGAAATTGGGTCTCTCATCTACAATAGGAAGATGATTTAGCAAAGGTTTTGTTTTGAGAGCAAGTGACACTGCAGTATTTCTCCTTACCCAAAGGAAATTAATATTGCAGGTTATGGAAATCGTTTCATAATTAACGATATATTTTGCCCAACAATAGAAACCCAGGCCCTAGTTATGCCGTCTTGTTATTTATGTGTATCTATAAGGCTGAACAGATAACTTTACTGTGAAAATGTTTTGCCTATAGTCTCAATTATTTGCATGTGGATTGACATCCTCAGGCAAGTGGTTGTCATCCTGTTTCTCTCAGCGACTCATGTATGCTTAACCTGTGCTTTATGATCCAGTAAATTATAAAAATTATCAAAACTAAATTTGCAGCTCACAATTATTTTGATGATTGATTAATCTAGTGACTCTATTAGTTTTGTAAAATGCAAACGTGCAGATTTCTCTCTATATAACGCTATAAAGTGAAGCCACTGCAGGACATCTAGATTGTGTTTTGTTTTGAGAAAATATATATTTTACGCAATTCCTGATAATTTCTTTTCGCCATTACTGTTCTTTCTGTCTGTCTGTGTCTTACTAAATATCTAAGGTGTGCCTGGTCTAGGAGGACTACTTCTAGCACTATAAGTAAAGTCTTTGAATATTATTTTATTTGGGTAGTCGTTTCTTATGGCAGACCTGGGTAGTTTGGCTTTGTGGGGTGGTCTTTAAAGCCATAACCCCAGAGCAGTTAAATCCCAGTGAGCACAGTGAGTTCTCCCAGAGCTGGGCTGGACCTCCTGTTACCTGGACCTGTCCCAGATCCGGATGACCGCTCACATGCGCACAGGGACAGAGCTGATGTGAGTCTTTGGACAGGTGTGGTCACGTGGTCACCATGGGCAATGAAAACAGCGCGACCGAGGCTCTGGTAAGAGACAGTGTGGGTAAGAACAAAATAAGATACAGTTTCGCACTGGCTTATTGGTAATGGCCTTACTTAACTACAATGTTGTCCACGTGTAACGTCAATGGTGATCAGGTCGCTGTAAATGAAGTATGTTCCTAACGCTGCTCTGACATGGCTGTGGCTGTTTATATAGCTTTGTAGTATAGCTTACACATTAGCGGAGAGCTGGATCATTTTGCATTTCATGTGATGGAAGCTCGTTAGTAATGTATTATTAGCTAGCTAATTAACGAACTAACACGTTTTGATTATAATAAACGCGAGAGAGATCATCGCCATGCTAACCACATTCTTATCTTCACTCCGGACTGTTGATGCTTTATTCAGACGTGCACTGGTTAGAGTAAAGATAGTAAAAACATTAAGGTTAGAGTTGGGGTTAAGTTAGTCCCATTATATTTTCTGGCTTTTAAAATGATTCATATAACAATCTACATGCTTTTCTGCTCTTACGGTCACAAGATGGCCACAACAACATATGATCTGTAGTCTTTATTGAACCGCATTTTGACGCAGGCGCCCAACAGTTGCTCTGGCATGTGATGGAATTGTTCAAGGTATTTTGGATTATCTTAATAGGATTTACTTAAATATTGTCTCATGATCTATATGGGCCATATGGTATGCGACAAGTGTGCTTTGTATGTGAATGTTATTCATGTAACTTTAATTAGAATAGTTACATAGTGGTTCAGTTGTAGATGTTGCAGGTTCATAACTTTCATTTCCCTGTTACAGCCAGAAGAGGGCGCTCCAGAGAGTGTTGTTTCCAGCTCAGGAAAATCACTCACTGGAGGTACAGTGTTTGTGTTTGTGTGATGTTAAGTGTCCATGAGCCTGTCAGCTGCTGCTGTAGCTCTACCTTGGGCATTGTGACCTGTTGCATAAATGATTCAAACCTAATGTGAAGAAATGTCACAAACATTGAACAAAGTCAAAGTCATGTTTATCTATGTTGCACATTTATAACTTCAAGAACCTAAAGGAACTTGCTCCACTAGCTAAACAGTACAGTAAGTAAGACACGTTAAAGAACAACACAATATTACAGGAAAAAAAAAATAGTAAAGAACAATTTAGGCAATAGGCTAAAGTATTGGTCTGCTATAGTTCTCCTGCCTATAGGGTTTTTGAACAATGTATTTGACCAAACTAAAATAAACATATCTGCTCTACGGTTATGATAAAGAATTATATTGACTTATTTCTAAATCAAGAATCTCTGTGTGAAAATGTTTAAATTCATTAAAACTCTCTTATGAATTATATTACCTTGCCACATATTTATTAGGGGTATGACCAACGATCGTTTTGATAATAGAGAATGGTGTTGATTCTTTTAATTCATCGTTTAGTTGTTTCAAACACAGATATGTATTCAACCCTCATAAATCTGAATTTAAAGACCTTATGACGGGTTTCATTTATTTAGAAATACAGTTTTAATACCATTTTATATTAGAAGAGAACTACTAAAGGTTTCAAAATCAGTTGTTTTTTTTGTCTGATCCCCCCAAATCGAAATAACCCCATAGCAACGCCCTTAGAAACGAAAAAACTTCACAGCCCTTGGTGACGTCAGAACGGGTACGTTTCAACGCTGTAAGTTGTTTACAATTTGGTATTCGTTCTTTTTTCGCGGATATTCAAGATGACAAGGCCGTGTACAGCGAGTCTAAGATAACTACTAGATGGTAACATTTCGTTGTCACCGAGATAGTCCAGTGGTTGTGTCGATGGACTGCCAATCTAGATACTTGGGTTCAAATCCCACCTCGGACACTTTTTCACACTCAAAACGGCAATTTATGTGTAGTGAGCAATTGTCACCTGTAGAGGGCAGTATTGTGTTGGGCATCAGTGGAGAGAAGAGAGAAAAGGCAGTCCTGTGGCATAGATCCATGGTTTTCAATGCATGGGCGTAACCCGCTATGACGTCACACACAGGTTAGAGCATAGACAACTTAAATTCATGAAAAACATGTTCTTTTTATAAAATATAGGATTTTTTTTGCCGGAATCTCTTTCAAATTGACATTGTCATGCAATTTTGATATCCACTATTTTTTTAAAAAAAACCCGTCATAAGGTCTTTAAGTCACCATAGGATGTCATAACATTTTTCTTTTCATTAACACACTTTTTTATCATTCCCAAGACATTTTCGCAATTCTGGATGGTTTTTTGTGTAGTTATTTCTTGTTTGAGTCGTAAAATAACATCTTACATACATGTTTTGGAATCTGTTGACGATGCATTGATTACTATTGATTACTAATGTTTACAATTATTGAAGAAAAAATATTAGTTGCATTTAATTGATTAATTAATAGATGTATTGAAACATCAAATATAAATTAAAATCAGAATAAGCAATATGCGTCATGTCCAAGCGCACTACCACAAACTGTGATGGTGTCAAATAGTAAAACAAAGCCCAGTCAAAGTTAAAGGCTTCATGAGTAATGCAGGAGATAGTTGTTTGTGTGCGTCCATGATGTAACATAAGCCTATAAGGACTGTAACCTGATCTTCCCTGAGGGGGTCACTGCAGCTTTAGACCCTTGGCCCATTTCCCATCATTCACCTGCAGAGGCACTGTCAGCTAATCCACAGCGCACAAAGCCAGGAGGGGGAGAAGGAGGGAGGAGACAAGGATGTAAACAGGGAAGCACTCAAGGAAGGGGGAGGCGAGGGGACATTTGGCGTGCAGAGGGCATAAAGCGGCAACTCGGAGGCAAGAGGGAGGAGAAAGGGAGCAGCACACATACCCTGCAGCCAGCCTGTGTGGGTCAAGCCTAGGCTGGTCTAATGTTTCTCCACTCGGCACACTTCACAGGGAAAAAGACCTCATGGAAATTTAAGAGGGGAGTGGCTTGCAGAGGAGAAGAAGGGGACTAGCTGGAGGAGACGAGGGTGAAGGAAGTGAGCTGAGTCAGTTGGAACAGCATGTGTTGTTTCAGCATGATTGGGAGTCCTCTTCAAAACATTCACACAGACCTGCAGTGAGATTCAGGACTGCACTGTGTGTGGAGTCACCTTCAAGAGGAGGTCTGCCTGGTAAGTGCAGCTAATGTATGGAGAGAGAAGAAAGTTACAGCTGTGTTACCGTAGTAGTAATGTGACCGTTTTCTCAGGTTCATAGATAAACATACCCAGAAGTCTGTTTTACGACATGTGTTCTCTTTTATAGAGAAATTGGGAAGGGTAATTATTACATAGTAGGAGATTGTAAATAAATTGTTATGAGATTTTGGTGTTACTAGCAGGAGTAGTTGTAACAGTAGTAGTAGCAGCAACAACAGCAGCAGCAGTAGCAGTGTATTAGAAGTTATACTCTTTACTAACGTTTGCTGCTAGTGTCACAATAATATTTTTTAAACTAGACTTAGGCACCAATTTCAATTATTGAATCATTATTTATAAATGCTGAAATTAAGAAAAAAAATGTATGGGGCCACAAAATTTAACACATGTTTTTTCTGACATCATTAATTGGTTTTTAGCGATGATTAATATCTGATTTTCAAAACTAACTATGTAAGAACTTGTGACTGGTTTCTCTACTTTGTATCTTTAGCTTAGATTTAATTGTATTTCTGTAAATGCACTGCTGGTTTAGTGCCTGTACATACTCATTACAACCATATTATCATTAGACTGTGATGCTTATTATGGAAAAGTCTCCACGCAACGTCACAGAACCCTGCTCTCTGTAAATGAATTACTAACTCAAAATGGCTTTTCCACGTCACATATGTACCTGGTCTTGCATAATAGAGACCTGGCTGTTACAAACCAGGTGGTCGTCTTGTTCAGTCTTTTCTATGCATTTACAGACATTTTAAACATGTGTTAGTTGTATTGACAGCTCTAGCAGGAAACAGGAAACGCCATATATGAGTCAAAGACATGGGGACCTGTCTTGTGTTATGTGGTTTTTACATATATACAGTGACAAGTACAGTTGCCAATAGTGCAACGTTCAACTGACGCAAGACAACATTGATAAAACCTTACATGTTAAAAATGCAGTTAAAATAAGTTAAACACTTATTAACTTTTGAAAGTTCTACTATAACACCCCAGCTTGATCTTATAGGGGCATCGATCCTGGTGTTTTCAGTATGTCACACAAAGGCACATGCAACAGTGCACAGTTGAGCTCAAGATATCTTTGTAATACAATTAAACAGTATTCTTTTACATTAGTACTGAGGTCAAAACACAAACTCTACAGCATTTAATATTACTCTGATTATTTTACTGTTTAAAATGTTCAGAGTAAAGTTAGACGTGACCCAGAGTTTGGATTTTGTGCTGCCACGCTGTCTGCTACATACATAATGAATGAACGTATCTCTGCAGCTTCTCACTGCACATAGCATTAGTGTTGGCATTCCACTATCAATCACATGCTGTGGCTCATTTACAGCGTGTCCAAGGACTTTGACATTTTGATATCTGTGCACTGTACATCCCCTATGAAGCTATTACAAAACATAGTCAAGAGAAAACAATACTATTATCCTTAATATCTTAGTATTCCATAACTAGCAGGATGAGCAGTGAAACATATCCTCTTGTTGTCATAATAGTTGTGGTCATTTGTGGCAGGGTGTTGGAAAGAGTATAGCATTTTTTTTTCACTAATGCCTTTACATGAATGATGGGTTGTTAAGGCTTGTGGATTATTTAATGTTTTTGTGGTTTAATTGGATTGTTTTGGGAAGAGTTTTACTTTGCGCACACACGGGTGGAGCATTGCTGCATTTATACCGTTTTGCTGTAAGCCAACTGTGGCTGTTTGCTAACGACATGCTTACACTTGTCAAAGTACACACAGGTCTGCCATGTGCTGAGGCTCCAGCAGGTGTACTGTACTATGACTTCTATAATTTACAATATGATGTAGTCAAAACGACTCTTATGTTTGTTTAGCTCATGCGGATGAATAATTAAAGAATCACCCCTGTGTCATATGAGATTATCGGTGACATAGATAACCTCTTGTCAAGTCAAAGTTTCTATTCTAACTTGCTCTGGTTCTTTACCCTCACAACAAAGCAAGATTTTAGATTTTAGTGTGTACAAAAACATGCATTTATATAAAAAAAAATTGTTTTGCACTTTGTACTTATATTGCGATGTGAAAGCTTTGTTTTCCAAATAATTTCCATTTAGGATTTACAGTGCCTTGCGAAAGTATTCGGCCCCCTTGAACCTTTCAACATTTCGCCACATTTCAGGCTTCAAACATAGATATAAAATTTTAATTTTTTGTCATGAATCAACAACAAGTGGGACACAATCGTGAAGTGGAACGAAATGTATTGGATAATTTAAACTTTTTTAACAAATAAAAAACTGAAAAGTGGGGCGTGCAATATTATTCGGCCCCTTTACTTTCAGTGCAGCAAACTCAGTCCAGAAGTTCAGTGAGGATCTTTGAATGATCCAATGTTGTCCTAAATGACTGATGATGATAAATAGAATGCACCTGTGTGTAATCAAGTCTCCGTATAAATGCACCTGCTCTTTGATAGTCTCAGGGTTCTGTTTAAAGCGCAGAGAGAACCATGAAGACAAAGGAACACACCAGGCAGGTCCGAGATACTGTTGTGGAGAAGTTTAAAGCCGGATTTGGATACAAAAAGATTTCCCAATCTATCCACTCGGGGGCGTGGCCAAGATGCGCACGGGGTAGTCTCACCTCTGCCAAAAACTCCGGTGAAATCAACACTTTTCTCTTAATTCTACCTTTGCAAACCTGAAATATTCAACACGGCCTTACCAAGCACGATGGAAGCAACGGGCGTAAAGTAAAATCCACAGGGAAACGACGCTGACAGTTAAATCGCCAAAATGCCAAAACCTACGAGACAAACAAAGCAATCAGAAGCAGGTGCTTCTCAAGAGACTGAGTCAGCAGCTGAAGCAAACTCATCCATCTCGCTAGAAAAAATGATGGATGTCATTCTTGACTCAATGAACAAGCGTTTTGATTTGCTTGACGAGAAGTTTGAAACCCTGACCGCGAACCAGTTGGCTCTGACAAGGAGAGTGGATGAGGCGGAGGCACAAGGCACAGACCACGAGAGGCGCATTCAATCGCTTGAACAATCCCTGGCTGAAGTACGCCAAACAAATATGAAGCTGCACTCTAAATTAGACGACTTGGAAGGACGTTCAAGACGCAACAACATTAAGATCGTGGGAATACCAGAAGGAGAAGAAAAGGGGAGACCCACAGAATTTGTCACAAGTCTGATTCCAAAGCTACTCGAACAAGGGAATCTCGCAAAGCAGGTGATAGTGGACCGCGCGCACCGGGTACCAATGCCAAGAGCCACCAGCACACAGCGCCCGCGGAGCTTCATTGCAAGGATTCACTTCTACCAGGAGAAAGAGATGCTGCTCCGACTGAGTCGACAAAATCAACTTGTGTACAACGGTGCACGGATCTTCATCTACCCGGATTACACAGCGGATGTCATGACACAAAGACGAGGCTTTCGAGACGTAATGCAAGCGCTACGGGAAAAAGAGGTGACATTTATTCTGCGCTTTCCTGCTAGACTCCAAGTGAACTACGAAGACCAGGTAAAAGTTTTCAACTCTCCTGCAGAAGCGGTGGCTTTTATAGACCGACTGCAGAAGTGATGCCTGGAGATAGTGTGTATTACATGGCTTGCAAAGGATGAAGGCAGAGCCAGATTTATGATTATGATTTTGATTAATTCACCGGAGGGGGCGTGTCGCTTTGTTTACATCTCGCTGCTGGGTTCAACCCCGCAGCGAACGCGGGACACTAACGTGGGCCCTGCGCCTCTGACTGACTTACAGCGAATGGGTCGTTCTGGGCTGATGGGCACGACCTGGGACCTAGACAACATCAAGACCTTTCGTACTTTCTGGGAGAGGGTGGGGGGTATGGGGGTGTGTATGTGTGTTATTGTACGTGTGAATGGTTGTGAGTGTGTGTCTGAATATGTGCGCGGCGAGAGGTGTCTGCAATCTAGAGCTATGTCATCGTATATCTATTATCTCATGTACGATTCGTTCTTCATCATATACCCATGTCAATGCATAATACATTTAATTTAGTAACATGGAATGTAAGGGGATTGGGGAATAGATTTAAAACTGGAAAAGTCTTATCACACTTAAAATCATTAAATGCAGACATCGTATTCCTGCAAGAAACCCATCTTAGTAAGGACACAGAACATAAACTGCAGACCAACTGGATATCACAGGTCTACCATGCACCGTTCAATACCCAATCACGGGGTGTAGCCATTTTATTCAAAAAAAATCTGCCCTTTATACTTACATCTAAAGTTATCGATCCAAATGGCAGATTCATACTGTTATCTGGACAAATATCATCTTACCCTGTGACATTGCTAAATATCTATGGTCCTAATTCAGATAATCCAAACTTTTTTAAGAATGTCTTTGAGCTACTTCCAGATGACACATCCAATATATACATTGCTGGTGACTTCAACTGCTATCTTGATCACACGTTAGATAGATCATCATCTAAACCGCCAGCGATCACTAAAGCAGTCAAAATACTAAACAACCTCATGAAGTCTAGGGGTATTATAGATGTATGGAGAACAAAGTATCCAAACCAAAAAGAATTTTCATTTTATTCTCCTGTGCACAACTCCTACACGAGAATTGATTATATACTAGCGGAGTCAAAATCCCTTTCTAATGTCTGTAACCCTCAATATCATAGTAGAACTATTTCAGATCACAGCCCAGTTAGCTTACAGATACACATTAATCTTCAGAAAACTAAGAAGAAATGGAGATATAATCCACAACTTTTTACATCCTCAGGATTCAAAGAATACATGACTAAAAAGATTCAGGATTTTCTTGAGATAAATGATAATGGAGAAGTTTCAGACTCCACCCTCTGGGAGGCCCTTAAGGCCTCACTGAGAGGATACATAATCTCCTTTGAAAGCTCACAAAGAAGGGAAACAACTAAAAGACAGAAGACTATACAGCAAGAATTAAAATGTGCAGAGGAAAAACATATAAACTCCCTTAAGCAGTCTGATTATAAAAAGATCCTGCAATTGAAATCTGAATACAATCTGATACTTCATGATGAAATAAGCAATCTCCTATCCAAAAATAAACAAAAACATTTTTGAAATTGGGGACAAACCGCAAAAGCTCCTATCGAGACAGCTAAAAAGCAACCAATCCAACACCGCTATCCATAAAATTAGCTCAAAAACAGGAGAAATACTCACTGACCCTGGTGAAATTAATACCGTGTTTAGGGACTTCTACTTAGAACTATACTCATCTACTGCAGCACAAACAGCACCCAATGACCTCTCAAAGTTTTTTTCTAAGCTGTCCCTTCCCCAACTAAAGGAAGAGCAGCAGAATGTTTTAGACAGTGTAATCTCTATGGAAGAACTCATGAAATCTTTAAAATCTTTCCCACAAAATAAGAGTCCGGGCCCAGATGGATTCGGAGCAGAATTCTACCAAAGCTTCTGCGAAAACTTGGCTCCAGTCTTGCTTAGAATGATTAATGATTCACTATCAAAAAATAAACTCCCTGAATCACAATATGAAGCTCATATTTGTGTGATACCAAAAAAAGGAAAGGATCCATTGGACCCGGCCAACTACAGGCCTATATCTCTGCTTAATGTGGATCATAAAATTCTAACCAAGATTCTAGCCACAAGAGTAAATGAGCAAATCTCCACAATTATACATCCGGACCAGTCTGGCTTCATTCCAGATAGACCATCTTTTGGCAATGTAAGACGACTGCTAAACTTATTACACTCAGACTGCAAGGACAAAAATAACGCAGCCATTTTAACATTAGATGCTCACAAAGCTTTCGATTCCATCGAGTGGGACTACTTGTTTTATGTTCTAAAAGAGTTTGGATTTGGAGACATTTTCATAAAATGGATAAAAATGATCTACTCTAGCCCAAAATCCTATATCATAACAAATAATGACATTTCTAAATCATTTTCCCTGCATCGAGGAGTGAGACAAGGAGACTGCCTTTCCCCCTTACTATTTAACATTGCTATAGAACCACTCGCTATAGGCATTAGAACTCACCCCCTGATAGAAGCACTCCCGCCGGGGACATCTGATAGCCCCATATCACTTTATGCGGATGATGTTCTCCTCACATTAGGGAATCCAGAAAAAGGAATTCCGCATCTATTAACATATGTAGATTCATTCTCTAAGATTTCAGGGTATAGAGTGAACTGGTCTAAGAGCGAACTAATGTTCATAGGGGACAACAGAATAATTGCTCAATGTCCTATTAAAGTTGTGGATTATTACATTACTTACTTGGGTATAAAAATCTCCAAAGAATATGAGTCATTACTAAAACTGAACTTCTATGAGGGTCTAGAAAAGATTAAAAAATGCATTGAATACTGGAAGACGCTGCCACTCTCAATGATCGGTAAAGTGAATGCTGTTAAAATGGTGTTACTTCCCAAATTTATTTATCTCTTTCAAAATTTGCCAATTATGATCCCAAACGAGTTCTTCAAAAAACTGGATTCTGTGATTTTAGACTTTGTTTGGGGATACAAAAAACACAGGATATCTAAAAAACATCTATACAAAACGACAAAGGAGGGTGGACTCGGTCTTCCAGTGTTCAAAAATTACTACTGGGCAGCAAACATGAAGGCACTGACATATTGGAAAATGGGATTCCCAAACAACGAATTGCTCAAGTCTGCCCCCAAGTGGATACAGTTGGAGCTACTATCTCTTAAGAAACCTTATTCATCATTAAATTCTCTGCTATTCACTAATCCAGTTACCACAATCAAGTCAATAAGCCACAGCATGGTAGTAAGAAACTCAATCAGAATACTAGGTCAAGTTAAAAAAATATGCAATATCCCTAATATCTCAGTGTATACACCCTTGTGTCATAACCACGCTTTTATTCCATCGACAATCAACAACTTCTTTTCCAAATGGTACTCCAAGGGAATTAAGTGTATACAGGATATCCACTGGGAGGGCAAACTTGTTTCCTTTAATGATTTGAGAGCAAAGTATAACTTACCCCAATCTAGTTTCTTCCAGTATATGCAGTTAAGACATTTCATAAGGGAATACCTGCCATCTACTGAATCACTGCAGGTAAGCTTTCCAGTGCTAGAAACTTTGAATCTACCGCCTACAAGCAAGAAATTAATCTCAAAATTTTCCAACTGTCTTCTACCAACTACATCAACAGAGGGCATTAAAAAAGCGTGGGAGAGAGAACTGAATTCTACAATAGCAAAACAACAATGGGAAAAATCTCTCTCTCTAATCCATGAATGCTCAATTAACAGCAGACTCAGATTAATTCAATATAAAGTGATTCATCGTTTCTACTACTGCAAGGCTACTCTGCATAAATTTTACCCTGATGTGTCTCCTATGTGTGACAAGTGTAACATAGCTGAAGGGTCACTTCTCCACTCTTTTTGGGAGTGTCCTGTAATACTACAGTTTTGGTCAAGTATCTTTTACTTTTTTTCTGGAATCTACAGCATAGATCTACTAGTGGACAGAGACATGGCCATCTTCGGACACTCCTCAGAGGTAGACAAGCTCCCCAAACACCTACGGAGTGCGCTACAACTGGGAACAATCGTAGCAAAAAGACTCATTCTTACAGAGTGGAAAAGTCCAGGAGCACCATCCTTCAGAAACTGGCTGAATGAGTTGGTGAACATCATTCACATGGAAAAACATAGATTTAAATCTGCAGGGAGCATACACAAATGGGAGCTCTGCTGGAATCCGCTTTTGAATTACATAAAGTCATAGGACGGTTCGTTTGGACTTTCAACTCCGAGCGAGACCCTCCAAGGAGCTATGAACTGAAAGTAGTTTTCGACCGTGAAAAGCATAATTGAAATGTACATGTTGGTATGATGGCTCATGTGGATGTGGGATAGAGATATAAGCACAGAGACATGTGCATACATCTACAGATGCCCATGTAACAATGCTATACTATATTTGCAAGGGCACTCTCGTCCGTGTGTGTGTGTGTGTGTGTGTGAGAGAGTGTGTGTGTGTGGGTGCGCATGAGAGGGTGTAAGTTTGTACCTGTTAGGTATGGTGTGTTGAACATGTTTATCATTTTTTGCTGTTTTCATTTCTTTTTTTTTCTTTTTTTCTGTGTGAATGTGTGTACGTCTATGTATGTATACTTTTATTTTTGTTTTGTTTTTTTTATTTATGTTTTTATTTTTTATTTTTATTTTTATTCTATTTTCTTGTATATGAATGCATGTGTATTTCATTATTATTCTATTTTTTATTTTTTTTTTTATTTATTCTTTTTCTACTTTCATTGGTGGGTGGGTGTGTGTGTGTGTATATACATACATATACAAAACACGTGTGTGTATATACATATTCATAACCCTTTTCTGTTTCTGCATCCTTTACTATTCTTAGGGACTGCCTGGTTTTGTTTTATTTTTTTATTTTGTTTTTTCTCTATGTCTGTGTGATTGTAGGGATTATGTTTAAAAATGCAATAAAAATCTTACCGCATTCAAGATCAGTAATTAATCCTCAAATTTTCCAACCTGTCTTCTACCAACTACATCAACGTGGGCATAAAAAAGAGTGGGAGAGAGAACTGAATTCTTCAATAGCAATACAACAATGGGAAAAATCTCTCTCTCTAATCCATGAATGCTCAATTAAAAGCAGAAATCAGATTAATTCAATATAATGGGTTTCCTCGTTTATACTACTGACAGGGATACTCTGAATAAATTTTACCCTGATGAGTCTCTATGTGTGGACATGTGTAACATTGCTGATGGGTCACTTCTCCACTCTTTTTGGGAGTGTCCTGTAATAATTCAGGTTTTGGTAAACTTTTTTGTCATGAATCAACAACAAGTGGGACACAATCGTGAAGTGGAACGAAATTTATTGGATAATTTAAACTTTTTTAACAAATAAAAAACTGAAAAGTGGGGCGTGCAATATTATTCGGCCCCTTTACTTTCAGTGCAGCAAACTCAGTCCAGAAGTTCAGTGAGGATCTTTGAATGATCCAATGTTGTCCTAAATGACTGATGATGATAAATAGAATGCACCTGTGTGTAATCAAGTCTCCGTATAAATGCACCTGCTCTTTGATAGTCTCAGGGTTCTGTTTAAAGCGCAGAGAGAACCATGAAGACAAAGGAACACACCAGGCAGGTGTTGTGGAGAAGTTTAAAGCCGGATTTGGATACAAAAAGATTTCCCAAGCTTTAAACATCTCAAGGAGCACTGTGCAAGCAATTATATTGAAATGGAAGGAGTTTCAGACCACTGCAAATCTACCAAGACCCGGCCGTCCCTCCAAACTTTCATCTCAAACAAGGAGAAGACTGATCAGAGATGCAGCCAAGAGGCCCATGATCGCTCTGGATGAACTGCAGATAACTACAGCTGAGGTGGGGATGGTGTGTTCAGGGTGATGAGCTGTGTTGCTTTTACGCCAAACATATCGTTTTGCATTGTGGCCAAAAAGTTTGATTTTGGTTTCATCTGACCAGAGCACCTTCTTTCACATGTTTGGTGTGTCTCCCAGGTGGCTTGTGGCAAACTTTAAGAGACTTTTATTGCATATCTTTGAGAAATGGCCACTCTTCCATAAAGGCCAGATTCGTGCAGTGCATGACTGATTGTTGTCCTATGGACAGACTCTCTCTTCTCAGCTGTAGTTATCTGAAGTTCATCCAGAGCGATCATGGGCCTCTTGGCTGCATCTCTGATCAGTCTTCTCCTTGTTTGAGATGAAAGGTTGGAGGGACGGTAGATTTGGTAGATTTGCAGTGGTCTGATACTCCTTCCATTTCAATATAATTGCTTGCACAGTGCTCCTTGAGATGTTTAAAGCTTGGGAAATCTTTTTGTATCCAAATCTGGCTTTAAACTTCTCCACAACAGTATCTCGGACCTGCCTGGTGTGTTCCTTTGTCTTCATGGTTCTCTCTGCGCTTTAAACAGAACCCTGAGACTATCAAAGAGCAGGTGCATTCATACGGAGACTTGATTACACACAGGTGCATTCTATTTATCATCATCAGTCATTTAGGACAACATTGGATCATTCAAAGATCCTCACTGAACTTCTGGACTGAGTTTGCTGCACTGAAAGTAAAGGGGCCGAATAATATTGCACACCCCACTTTTCAGTTTTTTATTTGTTAAAAAAGTTTAAATTATCCAATAAATTTCGTTCCACTTCACGATTGTGTCCAACTTGTCGTTGATTCATGACAAAAAAAATCAAAATTTTATATCTTTATGTTTGAAGACTGAAATGTGGCAAAATGTTGAAAGGTTCAAGGGGGCCGAATACTTTCGCAAGGCACTGTAGTTCCATTGAGATTATAATTGGTAATTTTATTTTTAAATCCATCACAATAATTTGTCCTTCCCTCACAGGCTGAAGCCCGATTTGACTCATCAAAGCGAGACAACAAGCCTCTGGTGCGAGGGGCATCCTCCAGCCAACAGAGCCTGTCCCTGTCCCAGTCTTTGCTGCCAGACATCCCAGTGCAGTGTGGTGTGGAGGCCAGAGGGTCTCCTGGGGACCCCCTGTCAGACAGAGAGGAGCTGGAGTTTCCTCACGACTTACTGCCCAGCCTTGACTTCAGCAGCGAACTCAACATCTGGGAGTCATCACTCGGGTGAGACTTACAGATAGACGGGTGTCACTAACTGAGATAGTTCTGCAGATTAGGAAATCCTTGTTTAAATACACCGTACACACCCAGTGCTACTTTATTACCCTATTTGTAACTGACGCCAAAGTAAATAAAAAAGCTGAAAAACTTGCTCTTAATGGCTGCAGGTGAAACATCAGGAAATTAAATTTTTGACTAAATGGTTTCAAATAACTGTATTTGTCAATGTTACAATGACTGTACTGTCATCATGTGTTGTTTTATATGCTGCATGCATAACAGCAACTGGAACGAGTCAGAACATGCATTTAAACATAATTCTCGGGTAGATAATGTGGTATTATGTGTCTGGACCTTTGCCTTCAGAAAGCAGAATAGAGCAGGCCAGACACAGAGGCCATGTGAGCAGGTGACCCCTCTGCTGGTGGGTCTGCAGCATCACATGGAGGCTGTTGATACGAGGTACACAGAGCATGGCATGCTGTCTGCAGTGTGCTTTGAAGCAGAGCTGATAAAGACGGGGGAGCATAGAGTTAAGAAACTATCATGGAAAGGAATTGTTTTACCTTTGGTTGAAGTGTTGTGTGTGTAAATCAGGTTTGAGGTGTGGTAGTCTTTTTACGCTTGGGTGAACTACTTTTAATTGAAAGGCTGCGGTGTACTGACTCATTTTAAAATATGTCAAGTCAGTCATTACAATAATTTCCACTTATCTATTATACGTTGCTTATTTTAAAAAGTTTTTTTACAGGGATAGTGTACAATAAACATTAGCCAAAAGAAGAGATGCATAGTACCATCGTAGCCCATAGCAGCAGGGCTAATTTACACCTGTAGTCCCTGAGCAGGTTGTTGTAAAACATAACTCACATGGATAAACTTAAATAAAATGTTTTATTGTTTGTTTATTACTTTAAAAGTTTTTTCGATCTCCGCTGTCCAAGTAAAACAATACAGTATGGGAAGTTGGAGAATATCAATATACATTTCATTGGGTAATCCCTAAAATAATTGCTCAAATACGTACTACAATGTGTCATATATTGGTTAAAAAAAAAATCTGAGTTGACATTCGGAAGCATTTGTGTGGCTTTTGCGTGCGTTTGCGTTTGGTTGTGTGCAGTGTCTCGGCATGGACTTGTGTTGTGCCAAATGCAGCAGTCTGTCGCATTGTGGAATGAGCAGCTGCCCCTTGCCAACTCTTAACTCTGTCGCCCTCGTCCCAGGCCAGACCACAGCGCCCCAGAGTTCCTCACAGATGCCTCGACTGCTGCTGCCCCAAATCCACCCATACACACAGCCACACCCTCCTCTGAGATAGACAGAGAGCTTCAAGATGCATTCCAGGAATGTGAAGAGCAAATGGCTTCATTAGGTGCAGCCCAGCCCAAAACAGTCCACGAAATAGGGGGAAAGACAGAAGAAACTCTGGGTAAAAAGTCAGATCATGAGTCATCAATGGCCGCCCAGCCAGGACATAGCAACAAGTCAAAGCACAGGAATACACATGGAAACAGTGAGGCGACCAAGAGCCAGGACAAGCTTGTGTTTAGCTTCCGAGACTATATTCTGGGAACTGCAACGGAAGAGACTGCTGTAAATGCTTCACATGATAGCAAGACACTGACAGAACTGAAAGAGAATATACTAATACAGACCAAAAGAGAAGTTCATTTTGTGAATGAAGTAACAGCTCTTGAAGCAGATTCTCATACAGTGATAATTAAGGAAAATAATACTTTAGCTTGTAATATAGAAGAGATAGGTGCAGTGGTAATAAGGGATATGGAAACTAGTACAAATTATAGTGAAGAAGCAGGGGCCAGTTTATGTCTAGAAGAAATTAAAGGGAAATATGATTACATAGAAGAGGACCGAACAGGCAATTCAAAGGATAATCGTACTTTATCTGAAGACAAGGGTGGTGCAGAAGCACACCATAACCTCAAAGTCAATACAATACAATATGAGACTCAAGCTAAACAAGGGAAAAAGGCAAAGAAGAAAGATAAAAGTAAACGCAAAGCGATCAATCAAGTGACACCCGTTGAGGAAATAAAATCTGATTTATTACTAGAGATCCCTAGTGAAATTATTTTGCGTGATACACAGAGTGTAGCTGTAAAGGAATCAGAAAATGGCACTCTGGGTTGTAATAAAAATGAGAGTTGCTCAGGAGTGGTGGAAAATGTAGACAATAAACATGATCATAAAGAGAATAGGTTCAGTTCTAATGGAGGAAGTATCAGAAAGACGGATGAGCCTTTAAACAAAGACGGCAATGTTAGTCATTCAGTTGATAAAAGTGAATTATCTGGAGCAATGGGAGCCATTCAAAGTAAAAACACTCCTAATTTGCCCAGTAGTATAAAGAAAAAGTCAAAGAAACGACATACTATGGAACAAGCAAATAATGTAGATATAGACAATTCAACTACATCTCGAGACGGCGCAGAAATTAGCTCTCCAATTTCTAACATTGTTAAAAGCAGCAAAGATATTGTAACAAACAATGCCACAGACATTGACAATGAGGAAAGTGCTCATAATATATATGTTGTTGAAAAAGGGACAAATGAAATGTGTCGTGAAGGAATTAAACATGTGTATGAAGACAAATGTCCTGTAAAAGTAAAGTTATTTGAACAAAGTGAAGGAGCAGAGTCGAATAAAGATAGTGGCTCACATACCAGACAAGTACAAAATACAGCTATTAACAATAATTTACCTAAAAAGGAAGTCACTTTTGACGTATGTGCAAAACTGGAGGAAAGTGACTTCGTGGAGAAGGTTTCAAAAGGAAGAATTGGGTCTGCAGACACTAAAGATGACTATCCAGACAATATTTCCAATGGTTGTAACAGGAAGGCAGAAATGGATTCTAATGAGAAGTGCAAATCAAGCCCTTTATGTGATAATGAGGTTCCAGCAGAAGTCATTCAGCAAGACGAGCACAAATGTGGGGAGGATACGGTCACGTTTAACTCACAAAATGACAGACAAGACGGACAAGAACAGGAGGCAAAGAAAAAAGATAAGAAGAGGCAACGAAAGAAGAAAAAGGCTGTGAAAAGTGCAGAGGCGGAAACAAAACTTGAACTATCAGATGTATTTCAGACAGGAGCTGAGGCTGCATTTACTGATAAGCAATTGGATAATACTGATTGTTCACTTGATTCTATAAAGCGAGACAAAGAGAAACATCATAATTCAAATAACAGCAGCCACATCAACATCCAGGAGGCTGAAGAAGCGTTTACTCTTTTGCCATGTGATCCCAAAAGCATTATCAATGCTACAGATTTAGTTTCCAATGAGTCACTACCACCACATGGTCCACTCTCTAACACCCAAACTAGTTGTGTGGGAGCGAGTTGCGTAGATATTTCCCTTGAAAAAGCTTCAGCTCTGGGTGCTGCGTTGCCGTTGACAACGCCCACGATGCCAGAAGTGCTCGGAAAGAGAGAAAGTGCTGCGCATGTTGCTAATGAAATTCAGAATGCATTTGGAAAGGCAGGAGATTGTTTCGCAGGCGAGGAAAGGGACAATTTGGGGTTTGTGGTAACTACGGGACAAGCAACAGATAATATTATCAGCGGTGGAGAAATGCCACACAACTTGGTGGAGAGTGAAGTGAGAACAGTGCCAATTTGCAATGTGGACGCTGAGGTTTCGCCATCCGAAGAGGGAAACAAGGAGCCTCTCTGCTCGGAAGTCGATAATAGCACCCATGGGCAACTCTCTGGTGCAGCTTATCAATATAACTGCGTCGCTGCTGCTGCTCCTGCTTGGACAGAGGAAGTAAGAGGAGGAGAGGAAGTGACTGAGGAACAAAGACTGGAGTACAGTTCATTGGTCCGGCCACAAGGCTCTGCTCATGGGGTGCCGTCAGCTGAGCAGGGAGAGTGTCCGCCCTCCGATGTTGCCGAGTCACAGCACCGGAGAGAAATGAATGCGACTATCACTGAAAGCACTTGTATCAAATTGGATTATCCCTCTTGCCTCCTGCGTAACGAATCAACTTCAACTGTTTTGACCGAGCAACAAGCAATTATCAATGGACAAAATGAGGAAGTTTTGGGACGTGAGTACACCAATCAAGTCTTCCCATCTTTAACTTGTACACAGAAAATACTGGATAGCAATCAACAGGTACAAGAAGAAAAAGACACATCGCATAGTCAAAGTAATTCTGTGATCAGTGCGATACCTGGGGTAGATATGAATACGTGTCCTGCTACTGTACACAAGAATCAAGTTCACTTTGCGGATTCTGTAAAGCAAGAGGAGGAAACAATGCCGGCAGGAAAGGCTGTTCTTGGATCTGCTTCTTTGCCTCCCATAACAGTGCATGAGAGTTTGTACCACCCAGTTATTGAGGCCAGCTATGTTTTCCCAGGCTATCTCAACTCTATTAAAACCGAAATCCCCACAGATAAAGCTGCTGCTAAGGATAATGAAGAAAATATGAACTCACCTCAAAAAGTAGCAGAAGGCGATGGCGTTGACAGCAAGGACGTAACTTCGCAAAATAATGTTCCCCCTGAGAATGTTGATTTACTACCTGTGTCCAATCCCTGCTCTGAGATGAATACGGAAGTGAAAGCAAGTGAAGAAATTGTAAATTCTGTAAAAACAGGGGAGAAGATCCAGTGTGAAGCAGCAGGAATGGTGTCAACAAATGCAACTGAAAATATCACTTCAACTGAATCATTACCAGAGGAAGGAGATGCAAATACACTTAGAGAATTATTTCAAACTGGGCAAAACGAAAATCACAGTTCACATAAAAATGACAGAGACTCCTCTATGCCCATGTCAAGTTCGAATATTGTAGATGATGTAGATGACAAATTCAGTAATATTGCTGATGACTCACTTGTAGATTCCAATCATAACACAGTTGTGCTTACTCTTATAACAAATGAAACAGCAATGCAACTTGACTCTGATGTCACTCAGATTTCAGAACACATTTCCTCAAAGCTTGTTGAAAATCTTAGCAATGAGACTGAGCCAACTATAAAATGCAATGATCTTAAACTGGATTCCAAAACTGCATTATCCAATTCAGATGACACAGCCTCTGGCCTATCACTCGTATCATCCAGTAAACAAGGTGCCATTTGTGTTGTATCCCAGCCTTGTTCTCCAGGGTTGAGTAACTTAGAGTCTATGAATGCGTGTGATGTGTCTTCGCCAGAGGATATGACGGATAACACAAGGGCTGGTGGTAACAATACAAAATACTCAGAAGATTTGAATGCAAACAAGGAAGAAGAAGTGACACTGTTGACTTTACTGCAGAATTTTGACAAACGTGATGTCAATGCTAATGATATACATCCAAACGACAGCACTAAAGACATGGATATGTATATTGATCCAAATCTTAATACAATAGAAACAGCTGACTTTATGTCTAATGCTCAGCTTGATAATGTATTGGACACAGCCCCCAAACAAACAGCTATATCTGAAGCACAGGAAGAAAACTCACTTCTCTCCAACCTTTCTGAATACATAGATGCCAATATTAATCTTAAGGAAAAGGATGGAATTGTTTCTTTTATACTGGATGACAAAACTATGCTTCCACAGAATGTTAATATTATAAAAGAAGCAATGGACTGTAGCAAATTGGAAATGGGAAAAGTAGACACAGCACTGCTTGAAAGTAATGAGTTTGATAAAGAGTCTCAGGAGGACATGGGAAACCAGCAGCTACCCCATAAAGAAGCTGATTCACTTAGTGAGAGAACAAAAGGGAGTGCCATTGGCTTTAATAGTGGGCTGTTGTCTCATTATGTTGAGTCATCGGAGGACATGCTTAGCTCTGACTTTAATAGCAAACTTTTGACAGAAGAAATTCATAGTAGTTTGGATAATTCAGGCCAATCAGAGGCGTCAAGAGTTTCCAGATGTTTATTACCACAGCAACAGAGGAAACCTAAATCTGAACAAAACACGGAAGGAGAGGGATTGAAAAGTGCCTCTCTAAGAGATAAATTCAAAAAAAATGGAGACGAAAAAGAAAAAGGGGATGATGTTTCTGCAGACCATTCCTATGAAGTTCAAATTATGAATACTTCATGCAATTCTGAAAGACAAGTTAGTTCTACCAACATGAAAGCTGATGTAGAAGCCACAACACAAGAGACATTTGGAAATGTAGTTTTTGATTTAGACATGCCAGACTCACAGCCAGACGGCAACTTTGGGTGTGATCTAAGCGGAAAAGGTCAAGGAAACCATAAGTTGTCATCTCATTGTCAAAACCAACAGGAGCCTTTAGAGAACAGTGGTGCTACTGTATCGGCTGCATCACGAGAACATGATACTTCGCTGATTCATTCCAATAGTCGTGACATCCAAACAGACTCTGAAACAAGGCATTTGGACGAGATTCATGAAGAAATATTCACTGATATAGTTACGCAACCAGAGAGTGTCAACGAGGCTTTGAGTAAAAATAATTCGGCTGAGGAATTTGAAGGTACACGGATGGCCAAAGAAGCTTATGACGGACAAAGTTGCCAAGTAACGACAAAGACAGAGCTGTCTTTGAATGGAGATACACCTAGCAACCACAGAGGAGAGGAGAGCGAGGCAGCTGACAATAAAGCTAAGAAGGCTGTAAATCTGGATGACCCTAAGCCGACACAATCAATAGAAAGCAAAAGCCAAAGATCCAAGACTGAACCAGATAGTGACGCAGCAGATCAAATGACAAGTTCCATCATACCACCAAATATCAATAAAAATATTTTTATAAGTAAGCTTGAGGAACCTGCACATGACACAACATGTGCTCAACCCAGCGATGATGCTGTGGGTGATGAATATGAAAAGAAATCACCTTCAAAAACATCTTGTGTCCATGTAAAAGAAAATAAAGCCCCGGCTGACGTGTATCAAGCGGACACAATGAACTGGATCACAGCTCTAAGAGAGGCAGCCATGCAGTCTGAACAAGAGAGCACAGTGGAGACAGCAAGGTAAATACCAGCATACACGCATGATTGAAGTACGCTTCTATGTTGTAGTTTAAAAGGACTAAGTATGGTTAGTACTTTAGTGAACAGTATAAAGGAGATGCCCCAAAGCAAGACACAGGACTTTCGGTTATTGAATGCGTGCGTTTACATTGGCGTAGTAAAGGCTTAAAAGGTTTGACATGGCCACGCCCCCTTCCCCCTCCTCTAATAAGTTACGCTGTGTTAAGGATGCTGTCACCTTTTATGTTTTGAGTTTCCAAATGTGTGTTTTAGTATCATTGTGCTCACTGTTGACGTATTAGTATCATATTTTTTTTTGCATACAGAAGCTAAGTAGGCAGGACCTGGTTAGTACTGTGATGGGAGGCCTTTGGAAACACTAGGTGTCACAAGGGAGCTGCTTAGGCTGCAAACTAGCGAACTATCCTTGTTTTCTTTGGCAGAACACGTCACCCACATTGCCTTGTATGAGTCTGGTGTGTGTGCGTGAATGATTGGTGGTGGTCGGAGGAGCCAATGAGTCAATGACACATGCTCATTGCCTCACATCTGACAGTCTGTCCCAGGGCAACTGTGGCCAAAGTAGTAGTTTATCACCAACATGAATGGAGAAAATAAATAACTTTAAGTGCAATATAAAAAACAATGCATTTTTATTATTATTAATTCATATAATCATACTTAATCCGGTTAGCTTGAATATTATATTAGTTTGCAAAGTGATATCGTCAATCAGTGGAATGTGTAGCATCCACTGACAATTAATCTGCATCCATTTATTCTGTAAGGATGACATCAGCTGTGACCATCAGTCCTGATCTCCACCACCACAATGCACAAAGCCAAACAATACCGCCTCAATGTACACTACTGTCATTTGTCCTCCACTCATGCACATGATCCCTAACCACCTACTTTTCTTCCCTTCTGTCTGTATTGTTTTTTTCTTTAGACCCCTCCCATCTCTGGATTCTCCTCTGCAGGACTTTCATACTCCAACTGAAGACACATCTGGTCCAAAATCACAAGAGAAGACCCCACCAGCGCCTGCAGAGAAAGATAAATCACAAATATTACCTCTGGAGAAATCAGTTGGTACCGCAAATGCTGTAGTAGATTCATCAAAACAAAAACAAGACATTGCAGTACTTAAAAAGAAACTTAGTATTGACCTTCCTGACCCAGTGGAGGTTGAACCAATCAAGAAAGAGGAAACTCTTAAAGCACTAGTGTCAAAAGAACCGCTGTTGCCTATAGAACAAGTGACAGCTGAAGATCTGCCAAAGGTTGACATCCCAAAAGTCAAAAGTGAAGAAGTCCAGATCCAACCAGATCCCGTAGTCGAGGCCACAACCGCACGCACAGAGCAGAAGCCAGAGGGGTCTTTGGAAAAACATTTGGACAGCCAATCCCTGAAGCGCCCAGTGGGTCCTGCTGAGCTGCAGAACAGTGGGTGAGTTGTATTTTTATGTTTTGTTAATTCTCATGAGCATTAAACTGTTTGGCATCATTTACACACTTAATAGCTTTAACACGTTGTTTTCAGGATAGGGCTAATGGGAAATACAGTCATTATAATATGAATATTTCTTTGTGTGCGTCCATGTTTAAAAAATGTACATTGAAATTCAATGTTAATGTCCAGTAAATAAGTCTGTATAATGTGCATCCTGCTGATGCACTATTATTATTTCTATTTTTTTTGTTTCTTTCTTTTTTGTTATTCATGCGATTAAGATTGGGAGGATTATGTTTTTAACCTGATGCTGCTGTTGGTCATGTTGAGTAAAATACTAGAAGACAAAAGGGAGGAATCATCTGGATAATTACAGGGGAATAAAAAGATAAGATGAGCCTTGAAGAATGAAATGGTAAATGAAGCTGTAAATATATGCAACGGAAATAAGAAAACTACACGGAGACTAAATCTTAACATTGGAAAATATGAGGAAATAGGAATCAACTCTTTAGTCCTTTTTGTTGAATTGGAGTCTGGTGAACTCTGTATCTACAGTGTGCAACGCATGAATGAGAATCGGCTTTCAGTATAGAAATTCACTTTTCACATTATAACTCCCTTCATAATTCAAAACTATGTTCCAACAAACACTACCTAAAAATGATTAATGCTTAAGCTCTTAAAGTCTGTGTTATTTGGTAGTTTTGCATCTGTGAAGTTACAATTTTTCAGGCAAAAAGTTGAAGAATTGTATTAAAAATATAAGTAACGCTTAGTTCAAAAATGCTTATTCATACTGTCATCACAAACAAAGCAATTATTTTATTTAAAATTCATTCAACAAGATGAAGGTGCTGCTCATGTCCAACAAAGAAGTAACATACTCTTTACCAAACAAACCAAATCAAACCAAGGCAAGAATTTGAGTCAAATCTTAAATACATAGCTATCGTTTGGTAAAATAAGTAGTCTAATCTCCCATCAACTGTATTGATCTGCGTGATTGTCATAGAGGTGTCTATTTGAGATATACAAATCCCAATAATATTAACAGCCTTTAATTTAGCAATCTCTCTCATTTGTCACTCATCACTTAAGCCTGACATGTGCTGTGTGCCCCGAGTCGTCTGCATGCCACAGTAGCACTTGCCGCCTGTCAATCGCAACACTTGTCCCATCACCACTCGGGAGGTTTCAGTGACATAACTATGCCTATAAGATGTCAAGATATCCATCATCACAACAGCAACCAAGCAATTCAAATGAAAATATATCTTGAATGGGGAAAGGTGCAAATAAGATCCTTCAAAACATAAGCTATTTTTTTATTGCCTGAATAGACACTGGAGTAGTTGGCCCCTACATGATGAAACTGGCCGTTGTGCATGTGCTTTCTTTCCCCACCCCCGGAGGTTGGCCCAAGCTGTCAGTAATGCTCAGTCTGGAGCGGCTTTGTGAAGTCAGGCCGTGAAGCTTGTAGTGGGAGGAATTTTTGGGCAGACGCTCAACCAACCCCACTGAAGTCATTTCCACTGGACAGACGAGGAACAAAAGCCAGAGTTCAGGGAGACACTTGGGACATGTGCCGGGGACTTACCATGTTGCAGACTCTAGCAAACAAGCGTATATGAATATAGAGTTGCCTTTTTGAGTTTGACAATGGATTACTTTTCTGTAAAGATCTAGGTAAGATTCAAGAAAGTAAATTATAGTTTTACTTTTGCTTTGATTAAAGTTCTTCCAGGTGGATATGACAGATGTCCAATAGACGTGGGTAATTCATTGCCTCTGCTGCTAACCTCACCAGATGGGTGAAAGGGGAGGGAATTTTAAGTAATTACTTAAGTAGGAAAAATGAAAAAAAAGGTTTCAAAATGGATAACCAAAAATGCTACATGTTGGAGCATGTTCCATCTTCCTCAATGTGAATGTCATAGTCTGTTTATACCGTAGTTATTGGGAAGTAATAATGACAAGAGGTTAATCATACGTTTGACAACAACACAGGCATTCACTGTAAAATGAGAGTTTAGATATAATAGTTTAGTCTCGCTTTTTATTCTGCTTAAAAACAGTTGATAGAAGTATGATGTACTGCCTCTTCCTGTAAATAGACAGGTTGCCATGGCAAATCACTTATGCTTGTTCAAGCACCTACTGTAATCCCACGTCTGGGATTTATTCAGAAGCTGTTTTGGGAGGGCTGAATTTTGAACATAATGTAGACAATATTATTTAATGGGCTGTAAGTACTTGGACAGAGAGGACTTACAACCACAGCAGTAACACTTAACAGTCATCTGGTTCCAATTATTGTAGGTTGTTTATCATTTAGCTCTCCACATGCACGATACTGTCTTCTCATACACAGCTGTTTGTAATACATTGCTGTGCAAGTGTCCACATTGGCTTGAGTGCAATATACAATCCGTCACTAAGGTTTACTTACCATTCAGTCATGGAAAATAGAAAGCAGAAATGGAGTGGTGGTTTCATTTGAAACATGAAAGTCATTACTTTGTCCTGAACACCTTGAGCTGTGGTCTCCAGGTGCTGATGCCAACAATATATTTATGTAAGAAGCGTCCTGAAAAGTATTCTTTGTTCATCTAGCTGCTCCTATTAATGGCCTGCCATTAACCACTCGATTTAGGGTCATTCTAAAAGTATATTATCCCGTTTTGGCGATGACGTTAAGCCCTATGACGCTTTGTTGTGACTTGGCTGGTTCTATTTCCAGGCTGCATATGCCGACATATGCGCAGATGGATGTAGTCTGGGCTACAGTGGTTGATGTAGGCTAAAGGTTGCTGTAATACAATTGAGAGAACAACCTGTAAACAAAATCTTAACTCATGCTACATTATATATGCACTTTGTCTTTCTTAAGGGGTTTATAAAATAATGATATGAACCAGAACGTGCCATGGATATAAATTTTTCTCACTATGCCCTTAAGAAATGCACCCATCTCATTAAAAGCTCTACTTTACTGCAGGCAGCATTGAAATACCAAGAATAACAGAGCTCAATTTCTCCTAAGTAATTGTTTTTTTCCTGAAAAGGGCAGGAATTCCCTATAGACCTTTGTAGGTCTTTTTTCAGCGTAGGTTTATACAATTTTCCATTTAAAAAAAGCATATAGTTGCCTTTACTGGAATATGTGTTTAGATTGAATTATTGAATGACAGTTAACCTACAGATAGTATAGATTGTTATAGTGATATAACAACACATTATTTCCCCCAAATTATAAAAGTCAATTTATCTAAAATGTATACTACAGTCTCATCTGGAAGCACCTCCATGATCTTCATGATCTTCAAAAGCAGTTGTGACATTTTGAGTAGTTCCACCTTCTATATCAAACCTGATGATGTTTTGTGCCTGTGTTTAGATCAGTTGTTGGATTCTCTTATCTGTTTTTGGTGAATCGACAACTTTGTAAAGTCCTCCGAAATTATTGTTGTGATTTAGGGCTATACAAAAATACATTTCAGTGAATTGAATTGAATTTATTTTGTCTAACATAAAATCAGTCTATGTTAGAGGCCAATAAAGGCAAACAAAAAAATCTTGGAAATAGTACAGTTGACTCACAGAACACTCAGCTCTAAAGTGGTATTATAGCTGAATTATAAAGTTAACAGATTTCAGGTGTAGATGTATACTGTGGACCTATATGTAGAGAAACCCCACACTGCTAATTTTAGAGTTTAACAGGAGCAATGCCCCAAGTGGTGAACAGCTGCATGGGCGTCCGACGCCTTGCCTGTCAGATTAGAGACTGCTCCAGTCCTGATAAGTCAGCCCTGGATCAAGGCCAAATCCACTTCACCAGGTGTCTGCTGATCAGGGGCACAGCAAACAGTAGTTTACTGCCTTCACTGGATTACTAAGGAGAGAAACATGGGCCTACCTGAACACAGCCCAGGAAGAGGTTATGTGGAAGAGAGATGTGTTCTGGATGTTACTTTACTAAGTAACTTAAGTATTGATGAATTAATATCTATTTGAGTTTCATGCATACATATGCCCCGCCCTCATGGCCTTATACGACACTAACATTATTATAACATTATGGAAATATGACATTTAAGTCCATACATCACTTATCACATCAACTCAGTACAGTAAGTAACTTTAAGGAACTTTAGGATCAAGCTTCAAGCTGGCCTGTTTTGACAAGTTTAAATAAGTATTATGTTGAGGGTTGCATACCTCACTGTTTAAGTACACCTCTCATAATTCTCTGCAGAGAATTATGTTCAGGGCTGAGACGAGACACGATTCTCTCATGACATGACAAGACATTAGCTCCATGGGAATGAGACAGTTGTTCAATTTGCCATTTTGTTGTCTCTAGAATATGTTAAAACAAAAGGTGCTAAAGGTGTAGGAGATGGTTGTCAGTGTTACTTAATTCATCTTTTATAAAAGATTTGGGATGCAAGGCTGCCATTGCTTTCCTGGTTGCAGAAGGAAATAAAATCCTGTTGTTTAGGCCTCTTCTTTAGTTTACTTTTCTTTTTTTTCTCAAATATGGATGATTCTGGACTGTGAACTTTGAACAGAACCCAAATACAAACGCAAAATAAGTTGATGTAGGCAAGGCAAGGCAAGTTTATTTATATAGCACAATTCATACACAAGGCAATTCAAAGTGCTGAACAGAACAAGAAAGCATTAAAATCATAAATAATCACAGTACATTAAAAAAAAATAAAAATATAAAATCCCTCAGTTGTATGCACAGCTAAACAGAACTGTTTTCAACCTTGTCTTAAACATTGTCAGAGAGGAGGCCTGTCTCACATCTTCATGAAGACTGTTCCATATTTTCCAGATGTACAGTCTTTTACGCCTACGGTACATCATTGATAGCCACCACAGACTTAAACTGTAATCGGTCAAATCTGATATGATGAAATTGTTGCATTAGTAATAAATACAAATATAGACTGATGGGATTGTGTTGAGTATTAGCTGAGTGATGGTTTGTGTTGTCCTCCTCACAGGCCGTTTCAAATCAGTGCTTCTTCCCCTGCTCCTGCACCTGCACGTGCTCCTCCCGCTTGCGCAGACTTCCCCACTCCTCCCCCCACACTCCCGAAGACACACTCACCTGAAGCTCCTCCTGCATCACCTCAATCTTCTCCACCTCCTCCTGACCCTGAACCCATCCCCGAATGCACAGCTCCATCTGCTGCACCCCACCACCCAAACTTAAGGTAAAGCTCAACTACTGTATTTATTCTAGCTTCATGTTGTCAACAATAATGAGTAATGCGTTGTGTGCTTTTGGCAGGTTTGTTTTAATTTGCCTATTTTGCTTGAGTGGTCTTTTTTTCTACTGTCCATTAATGTGTGTGCAACTATGACATTGACATATACCCACAATGGAACGTATAATGTTCTCTTCCTCGTTATAATATTTTGTATATGTTTTATAATATTTTGTTCTATATATGGTCTGTCTTCTTGATGTGATCTTGCTCCTTAAAGGTCTTACAGTAGATTTACCTAGTGACACTTGGCCCTCTAGCCTACTTGATGAAAGTAGACATGTCCTTATCCTAGGTTAAACCAAGTCTTCCAACTGACATCTGCTGCAGTAGGTTAAATATACCAACAACATTATTGTCATACCAGACTTCTACTTTAGTTTGTGTAGTTTGTTTGTGAGCAATACTGTCAAGTTTAAGATATTTTTTATAAATCATTCTAAAATGATTACATTCTGCAAAACACAACATTGACTATATTGCTCTGATCCCTATGTCAGCAGCCTCTGTTATTAGACTGATGATAAATGAAATTGCATGATTTTATTGCCTTGTTCTTGGTCACATGGTGTCAAATGAAAGGATTTGCTCCTGTCTGAGTTTGGTGGTTATAGAAACTTTAATATGGGAAATATTTATGGATTAAAGCTGTGGTTAGCTTGTGGTTAGAAGAAGCAATACACCAGGTCCAGTTTGTGTTCTGTTGAATTTGAATTGAGTTGAAAATGTTTATGGCTACAGCATGTTTTATCTTGTAACACTTCGTCTAATAGATTGTAGAGACACTGACATGTAATTATGGTTCTGGCTTTTTGTTTGGAAGGGATTCAATGCTTTTGATTAAAAAAAACGTCATCTTCACCAGCTTGTGTTATTACAAGTCTACGGTTTTGGATAAGAGAATGACTCAGCCCCTTTGCCTGAAATATGACATTAGTCCAGCAGAGGGAGCCTTATCAAAACATTGTTCAGACTTCACTGTGCAGGATTGGCTTGCAGTCTTGTCTGTGATAAATCAGATTTTATTTTTCAATTCAATTGCCTTCTTTGCATTACTTTGCAAAACATGCTTCCTTCTCTGTGTCCTCTTCTTTTCTAATTACTACACTTACATATTATATGCAAGTTATATAGTTCCTATGGTTTCTATCAAAAGCCCAGTGGTCTGTGAAACTCAAGTGAACCGTGTCAGAGCGGGCAGTGGTCACAACATGTGTGTCATTGAGATATTATCAATCAGTGTCAGACTTTCGTTCAGTGCTCTCCAGCTCTGATTTCACCACTAACTCTTCTGACTTTGATGAAAAAGACATTTGGAAGTAGGATACAATATGGCCTAATAATGTGCCTGCATTGGTCTAAGAGACCAAGGCTACAGAGACTAACATTGTGTAATCCAGAAGATGCAATTATGCTATATTGTTGGTCTCTTTAAATAACATTGGATTAGATTGTAAATTCTCTGTGTATGAAGCTAATTATGAAATCTTTTGAAACGGTCTACAAATACAATGCATTAAAAAAAAACTTCAAAAACAACAAATTAACAATAGTCTCTCGTCACCCACGTCTAAATTCATTCATCTTTTGTAACGTAACATAGTATTGGACTAACACAATATTAGTACAGAAATATCACAGAATCTAAATATAGGCATTTTGTTTTATTCATAATTTCTTTAACGTGCACGTGTGAGTTGTGCTGACCCTGATTCAGTTCGAGTGCACTTATGAATCTTTCAGAAATAGCTGCCACAGCCACGTCTCCCTCTGCCTGAGAATGTTGCATATTTTATTTTAGAGGGAGCTAAAGTCCGTGACCACACATATTAAGATAAGCACAACTGTATTTATATTTTCTTTCCTTTTACAATCTCGTAAAAAAAAAAAAGAAGAAAAAAATCATCATAATATTTGTGTTGGTGATAATATCAGATACATAGATGGTCATGTGTAGCTGCAGTTGCTATGGGGTCTAGTGAATCAATATTTTGCCTTGTGCAGACTGCTGTGGGAGTGGGCAGCAGCTCTTTGACTTGTCCCCTCGGGCTGTACAACATCGACTTTCATCCCCCTGTGAGATTTTCAATCCGGTCAATATTCAATTTTGACAAGAGTACAATGAGTTTCATGTGTATTAACTACACATGGATACACTATACAGGATGTCTATGCTTTACTCAGACTTGCATTTACTGTATGTACAATATGTGCTATAAAAATACATTTCATTTCTTTCTTCCTATAGTAGCATCTGTGTCATATCATGGAACAATTTGGTTTATTTATTCTTGGCATTGCAAATTAGGTTAGATTCTCAGAGAGCAACAGAAAAAAAAATCTACTTCTCTTAAAGGTGCGGTGCTGGCCCAAACCCTAACCTAACTTTTTTGTTTCACACATAGATGTTGTTTGTCCTCTCTTTTTACTAAATAAGCTTATCTATAGATTTGACAGATGCCAAAAATACAAGAACCAATTGTTTTTAGAGCTACATAAATACTTGTGGTTTCCAAAGTTGGGACACCAGCCTTAACTGTCCAATGCAGCACAAGAAATGCCAACATATACATGCAACGTCTGATAATTGATGGTAATAATTCAAGCTATTGTATTTTCTATTTCACTATGAATGGTATATGTTACTGTAGATGTCAGGGTTGACTCAGATGTTTAGCTCCAGATAAGACACTTGAAACCGGCCCTAAACCAGGATGTGAGGTCAGAGGTGCCACAGGCTTGGATTTCTTTTGTTGTGAGTCCTCATTCCTCACACTTTCCCAGGAATTGGACAATAGACTCTCTGACTTTTCTCTCAGATTTTGGGTCTCCTTCTATGGGTTTCAACATGAGGAAAAAGTGGGAACGGTGACAAGGCGACTAACAATCTGAAACAAAATATGTCTTTGAAAGGGGACCAAAGTTAAGTAAAGAAGCAAATGATTAGTTGTAGACAATGTGATTTAAGGTGAACCTGCTCCATGGCTTAGACGATAGAAATCCTCAGCATGCGTCTGGAATAATGCAATTTAATGAGGTTTGAGTGCGGGTAAATTAGATCAGCTCGTCTACCATCTGTCCAAATACATCAGAAATTTTACTTATGATTATTAATGTATATTATTTATTTCAAATATGCATGTAGGTATACTTCATATCTTTGGCTATTTGTCAACAATAAGATAATATTAGGGAAAAACAATTGAATCAAAAAATAAATGTTCTTTTGTAAGGTGTCCTTGAGTGTCTTGAAAAGGTGCCATCAATTAAAATTGATTATATTTTATTTCTGAAGTTTGACAGTTAGGGTTCGGGTTATCAAGACAAAATCGCAAAAGAAATCTGTATGACATTACATTTATTACAATTAATCTTCAACAATCCAATGATCCCTATACATACATCGACACATACACAGGCTAAAGCTGGCATCAAGGTGTTGCTATAATAATAATCTATTTTATTGTAGTGCTTTTTTTACAATGTGAATTGTACTGGGATATTTTAGATATTCTCTTTATATGAACACTCCCAAATCACAGTAACTGTTCTTTACCTGGAAGGCAAAAGATCCAAAAATGTATAGATTTGGCTCAAATAAGATCATACATTATTTTACACTTTTTTTGGGTTGTAATATGGAAACGTCAATATGTGTGTCAAAACGTGTAGTCCTACTGCTGTTCTCAGTCACATTTGTAAATATTAGTATACACCCTCAACGTAAATCCTATTGTTTACGTTATACGGTCAACTCTGGTTGGCTGTACAGAAAATGGGAACATTTTATTGGCTGAAGAGAAAGAAGAGCCAAATAATACTCTATCGATGCATGACCGTGCCATTTACAGCAGCAGTTTTGGGGATCTGCTATTGTCTGGGTGCTTTTCCGTGCGATGGTATTGGATTAGACATAGCTGCATGTCTTTTTAAAGGGGCAGGAGGCTTGTGTTGGGGGGATAGAGAGAAAGAGAGCGTGAGGGGGGAGGAGGCAGTCCGAGCAGCAGCACACTGTGGCTCTATCAGCAACCAGCGTGAGCAATTCACTCATGCAAGGAAGAGAGAATTTTACAACACTTTGCATAGGATTGGCATCTTTCGGATTTTTTCCTTCCTTTTTATTTGTTTGAATATTTGAGGACATGTGCCACGTGGCATCTCTTTCCCTGGAAACAGACTTTACCAGCAGTGTGAGAGCAACAGACAGACACAGGGATGCTTTAAATAAAAACTCTCTCAATCATCTAATGGTCTGAACGCCTGATACGAGAAGCATCTTCTTGGCGTCTCGTCGTCCGCAGTGCAGCGCTGTGAAACCCAAAACAAGGAGCGCCAAGATCGAAAACATCGGAGCGTTTTTGGGGGGGAAGCAGGTGGATGTAGCGTGTGGTTGGACAGCAGGAGGAAGCTGGGGGGGACGGACCACGGGGAGCCATGGGGGCCAACGAATCCATGGAGCAAGGGCCGACCCGCTGTCGGTCTCAGGAGCATATGTAAGTCACCTGTGCAAGTGTCAGTCATGCTCCACATGATCCTTTCTTTAGTCAAATGGTGAACAATGGAGCTTTGTTTTTGTAACTGCTGTGTACATAAAGACACAGCAGACACATTTGTTTTGTATTGCAGTGGGCAGTCGTGCAATATGAGGAGTTTCAGCAGCAATTTTATTTATTTATTATTTCTATCATCCATCATGCATTAGTAATAAAGCCACAGAAAGCTTTCTTCTGTCTTTGCTATTCATTTTTAGGAATGTATATTTAAAAAAACAAAACAAATTAATACAAAAATGCATGATTACCTTTTTTCCTGAAGAAATGGATTTAGAGTTTGAATAGCAACCCCCATTTTATGTACGTATATACTTTTTTTAACTGCTGAATAAGGTGACAAAGAATCACCTGAAAATCTCCTTTTGGTGGATAAACATTGTGTACATTTACAAA